CAGAGGGCAGGGCAGCATAATCAAAATATTTTGAATAGCTGAGAAAGCCATTGCAGTTGTATTTGAAGTATGAATTTCTTTTTGTGTGATTTATAATTGTATCTATAGTTCTCCATCTTCACTTTTAACAGTGCAGTTTGAGTCTTCCTTAATACTTGTTATTTTACTCCATCTCACCCAGCGAACACCAAACAGATAATGAATTATTTCCGATTTGTACAGCTGCACTGGATGGAGGATCCATGCCACATATCTTAGAGGAGGCCCACTGCCAAATCCCAGGGCTGTTTGAAAAGGTATCTGGTGGATTCAAACTCTATTCATGTGCAAGATTGATGTCTTCTAAAGTATCAAATATGTCAAAAAGTATCATACATTTGCCCAGTTTCCCTTTGGAACAAATGTAATATACAACTGGTACAAGACGATACAGCGTATATTGCTTTACAACAGCTGACAAGCAATATCAGTTCACTCTGCATGAGTCATAGTGGTTATAATAAGTACTATCTAACAGTGTGTTCTTGCACTAAACCTATTTATGTATGTTACCCATTTATCTAAACATGCCTAGGTTTTAGTAAGTAGGGACCCTATGAGAAAGTCATACAGATGTTTTGAGTGCCACCTGATCTCAACAGGGTGTGGAAACAAAATCATCTAGATTTCGAGGGGCTAGCAAGAAAGAGAATGAGCATTAGATTATGGTTTGCTGAGACGTCATGCCCATATTAGGCACAGGGGCACGTGCCACCTCATATTTGTCCTGTTTAAAAAAATATTATACAAAACTTACTACTAGCTACTTAGCAATTTTATGAAGTTGACTTTAGCTAGCCCAGATAGGTTCCCAATCTCCTAACGTCATAACTAGCTGCCAAGAAGCCATTTCAGGCTGTCAATCAAGTTAGAGTAGCTAGCTTGTATAACTATCTTAGCTAACATGCCTGCTGGTAAGGTTGGTAGAAAAGCAAGCAATAACTAAATGTACTGAATGAAACTCACATTCCTTTCAATCGTTTATCTAGATTTTAGCAGAGATGCAGAGAAGAATACTTAGTTTCTTTAAAAAAAGAACCACCAGTCAGGAGGATACAGACAGCTCAAGAGGTATGCTTAGATATGCAGAAAAAACGTCTCTATTTTATAATTTTTTTTACATAGAATTAAGCATAATGATTATGGCTTTAGATTGCAGGAAAAAGCTGTTGCAGGTTTTGGAAAAATGCAAAGTTCTCCAATCTAAGGATGGGCAGAGCCCCCCTCCAGACCACCCCCCAGCAATCATCTGTATTTTGCGCCCCCTCACATTTTTGGGGTGCGTGACGCCCCTGATGGTTTGTATAAGATCTAGATTTCCAGTGTTGGGGAGTAGTGAACTACAGTTGAAGTCAGAAGTGTCACGCCCTGACTCTGAGGACTTGGATTTGTTGAGTCAGGGTGTGTATTTTCCGTGTTGTGTGTTTGCTATGTCGATGTTCTGTGTTTAGATCTAGAATGGGTAGATCTATGTTGGCCTGTGTGGTTCCCAATCAGAGGCAGCTGTTGCTCGTTGTCTCTGATTGGGAGATCAGAGATTGGGAGATTATTTCTTTCATCACATTCCCAGTGTGTCAGAAGTTTACATACACTCAATTAGTATTTGGTAGCATTGCCTTTAAATTGTTTAACTTGGGTCAAACGTTTCGGGTAGCCTTCCACAAGCTTCCCACAATAGGTTGGGTGAATTTTGGCCCATTCCTCCTGACAGAGCTGGTGTAACTGATTCAGGTTTGTAGGCCTCCTTGCTCGCACACGCTTTTTCAGTTCTGCCCACACATTTTCTATAGGATTGAGGTCAGGGCTTTGTGATGGCCATTCCAATACCTTGACTTTGTTGTCCTTAAGCCATTTTGCCACAACTTTGGAAGTATGCTTGGGGTCATTGTCCATTCGGAAGACCCATTTGCGACCAAGCTTTAACTTCCTGACTTCCTTCTTGAGATGTTGCTTCAATATGTCCACATATTTTTCCTTCCTCATGATGCCATCTATTTTGTGAAGTGCACCAGTCCCTCCTGCAGCAAAGCACCCCCACAGCATGATGCTGCCACCCCCGTGCTTCACGGTTGGGATGGTGTTCTTCGGCTTGCAAGGCACCCCCATTTTCCTCCAAACATAATAATGGTCATTATGGCCAAACAGTTATATTTTTGTTTCATCAGACCAGAGGACATTTCTCCAAAAAGTACGATCTTTGTCCCCATGTGCAGTTGCAAACCGTAGTCTGGCTTTTTTATGGCGGTTTTGGAGCAGTGGCTTCTTCCTTGCTGAGTGGCCTTTCAGGTTATGTCGATATAGGACTTGTTTTACTGTGCATATAGATACTTTTGTACCTGTTTCCTCCAGCATCTTCACAAGGTCCTTTGCTGTTGTTCTGGGATTGATTTGCATTTTCGCACCAAAGTACGTTCATCTCTAGGAGACAGAACGCATCTCCTTCCTGAGTGATATGACGGCTGCGTGGTCCCATGGTGTTTATACTTGCATACTATTGTTTGTACAGATGAACGTGGTACCTTCAGGCGTTTGGAAATTGCTCCCAAGGATGAACCAGACTTGTGGAGGTCTACAATTTGTTTTCTGAGATCTTGGCTGATTTCTTTTGATTTTCCCATGATGTCAAGCAAAGAGGCACTGAGTTTGAAGGTAGGCCTTGAAATACATCCACAGGTACACCTCCAATTGACTCAAATGATGTAAATTAGCCTATCAGAAGCTTCTAAAGCCATGACATCATTTTCTGGAATTTTCCAAGCTGTTTAAAGGCACAGTCAAATTGGTGTATGTAAACTTCTGACCCACTGGAATTGTGATACAGTGAATTATAAGTGAAATAATCTGTCTGTAAACAATTGTTGGAAAAATTACTTGTGTCATGCACAAAGTAGATGTCCTAACCGACTTGCCAAAACTATAGTTTGTTAACCAGAAATGTGTGGAGTGGTTGAAAAACGAGTTTTAATGACTCCAACCTAAGTGTATGTAAACTTCCGACTTCAACTGTACATCTAGTAATTTAACTACATTTTGCAGTAGCTTGGTGGTAGTTGAACTCAAACACAATTGCATTTTATCGATGGCAATTTGAATGCACAGAGATACCGTCGTGATGAAATCCTGAGGTCCATTATGAGGCCCATTTTTTTTTTAAGGTATCTGTGACCAACAGATGCATATCTGTATTCCCAGTCATGTGAAATCCATAGATTAGGACCTAATTTATTTATCTAAACGGACTGATTTCCTTATATGAACTGTAACAGTAAAACCTTTGAAATTATTGCATGTTGCGTTTATATTTTTGTTCAGTATATATTTTCCTTAAGGGTAGCTTAACTTCTTCAACTGTGAAGTAATTGGTAGCTTGGTAAACTATATTTTCAGAGTAGCTTCCCCCACAATGTAGATTTCCTGCCACAGTCAATCAGGTTTTATGAGTAGTAACTTTTGCAAGGTCATTATGTAACAAAAGATATAAAGGGAAACTCGTGTTTCAGTATTGTGGTAAGTCAGTAATAGATTGTTATGTAAAGTTCATAATTTTCTGGCTTCTTTTCAACACATTTAGGTATGTAAAGGGACATTTCTCAACAACATCAAAGTTTGTCAGAATTACAGTCAGGATAAACCAGAGATGAAGTCTTGATCTCATGATCTTGGTCACATAAATGCAGTCTTGGTCTGGGTTTCAATACACAGTGTCTGGCCTGGGTTGGCACCCAATGTCTTGGTCTGAGTCTTGGTCATGGTCAAGACCATGGTTTGTGTAGTCTTTCAACTCATGTGGTCAAGATACACCAGTGAGTACCATCTCTTGTAAGAGTGGCAACTCGAAATGACCAGGGAACCTTGTTTTTTCAACATTACATTTACATTTTACATTTTAGTCATTTAGCAGACGCTCTTATCCAGAGCGACTTACATCAACATTTTAAGAAGGCTGGTCTTAGTCTTGTTTTTTTTTCTCCACATTTTAACTGTCTTAGTCTCATCTCGAAGTTGGGTTTGGGTCTCTAGAGTGTTGATTCAATTTTTGTGAGAAACTGTAACTTTGTCTGAACAGTCTTGAGAAACATTGTCCGATTCTCAAAACAACCAATATTTAAAGGCAAGCACAAGATATCAAGTTGAGGCATGCTAGTGAATGGTTAAGGTAAGGGTTAGGGGGTTAGGATAATGTAAAAAAACAAAAACACACCTGGATTAGAACTGCCACTGCCAATCACAGATCACCAGTCCTGCATGTTACGCCCACTGCCACCCCCAGCCAACGTCCTTGCACAGCATTTCTTGTTTTCACTCTCACAATGCGAATTCAATATCAAAACTCACACGACTGTCTTGCAATATTAAAAGAAAATCAATTGCATTTGTGCTTGCTACTCACACAACACATTTGAAAACTCAAAGGCACCAAAAAGAGAGTTGTTTTATTACATACATATAAGTAATACACTACACAAACGTATACTGTACCAATTCCATAGAAAACGCAATAATGATTAAGTTTAGCCTACATCAAAACAAGACACATAACTAAAGGTTAAAGAGTAGGCCTATTCATACAATAAAACAACACGCATTAGGTAATCATTATTTTCTCAGGGATGTACAGGCTGGGAACTGGGTATGTGTGAGCCTTAAGACAGCTTAGTAGTACGAAAGGTTATGGAAACATACAACATATTTGGATAAATTAGGCATTCCCTTTCGAACGGTGTGGTAAGTAAGCAGCGGTAAGCGAGGCTCACAAACATTTCTTATTGGTTTATTATTTTAAGGTTTTCATCGGAATGGCTGGTATTCAGCAAATTTCCTGTGGAAAGTTCTCCACCACTTGGTGGAATGTTATCACAGACACATGCCATCTAACATGAGACTTCACTTGGCCAATAACATAAACTCTGTAGGCCACCACTACATAGGTTAGAAAAAAAAACAGCGTTGGCATGTTTTTTACTAGAGTTGTGTGTGATGTTATGTATGTGTGTGTGTGTGTTTTTGAGTGAAACAGGGTTTACATACCCTCTCACTTGTGTGTGTGTGTGCGATACGTGCTCTGTTTGCGCATGCTGTGTGTGCGTGTGTTTGTCTCTGGATGGGTTCAACTCTTCTCTTCCACCAGCAGCTGGAGTCTGTCCTCTCCGTAGCGAGGGGTACTCTGTCCAGTCTCAATGGCCTCACAGTCATCTGTGAAAAACACTAGGTCCTGTGGGGAGGTCAAACAGTCAGACCTAGGCATCCACAACATCTCCAACTGCAGAATGTGGGTGAAAGGCTGAGCAAAGCTGACGAAACATCGGCAGACAATAAACTAAATGAGCAGAAGTAAACATGTTATCTTTTATACTGAATTGAACTCTGGGCTGTAATTCCCTAGCTTGGTTCCAGAAATGCCATCTTGTCACCTCATGTCATTGTCCTTATAAGAGTTGGCAAGGCAGAACAGATCTGGAAACAGGCTAGTAATTTCCTGCACCACATACAGAATAGGCTATGACAGACATTTAAAAATATATATATATGTTCTGACTATGAGAGACATCACGGTTAATTAATCTGTAGAGCTGAGCACACACATACCCGATAACAGATTCTGTTGATGATTGTGTACAGGTTGGTAACTTTGCGCTTCAACAACAGGATCCTGGGTCGCTCTCTGCAGTACTGCGTAGGAAGGTTCTCCACAACATAGATTAAGTCACGGAGCTTGGTCGTGATGCACGAATTCTACAGGGAAATAAAAATGATATTGTATAACCTATTGCTCAATGAATATTATACTATTTTGATTTAAAATTACACAAAAACAGTTTCAGATACTGGTATACAACAATTCTTTTATATTAATTAAAATGTATTGGCATGTTATATTTTTAAGCTTTGATATCGCATCCAATCACATTATGGAATGCATGCATCTTCTAATCTACATGAAACATGTATAGTGCATCACCAACTCATTACTGTTAATGCAATATAACCCAATGAGACATCAAATCAGATTCTGGTTCACGCTGTCGACCTTTTCTTCAATACTGACATGACGTCTGAGAATCAATATTTTGTTCAGATAAACTACATGGTTTAAACTTACGTGCACATCCAGAAACATCTTGGGCAGAATCTCCACGCAGGTTTTCTACAACATAAAACGTTTAAATTAGAAATCATTTGGATACATAAGAAAATAACTGTTTTTATCAAATCAATTACGAAATTGAAATAGCTCACCGTGCGATGACAATTGTGTAGTTTTTCCAAAAGGTCCATTATTTCCTTGCTCAAGCCAAGCACTCGGGAATAGCATGTCGGTGGTGCACAGTCTGCCAACCAAATAAAACTGAAGAAACACAACAAAGATAAGAGTCTCATCTTTCTACCCGTTGTTGCGTCGGTCAAAAAAGGCTTACTACCCAGCTACGCATGGGCTTTACAACACGAGTGTGTTCTTTGTCGAGCAACTTTGCAGTTTGTAGTTGGGAGTGACAAAAAAGAGATGATGACGTCGAAGATCCACTAAGCGCAACATGACAGGAAATGAAACGTATTTTGCGCTCACACGTGAAATGTCTATCAACATCCTTCAGGATGACAACAAAGTGTATCATCCCATGCTGCAACAATCCACATGCCACTATCAACATTCATTTAAGCACATGTTGGTAACATTTGTATGGCTGTTAATGAAACGATTTACAAATAGTTATAGGTAGGCCTAGTTAATAAACTGAGTTTATATAGCTAAACTGATATGATTAATTTATTGATGAATCAGTAATAAACAGTTATAACACATAGGTTGAAATTGTGGGATTGATATTTTGAAGCTTGCCAAACACTGAGCTATAAAAGGACTGTTGCAGGTGTTTTAACATTCAATGGACAGGAACACTCTAAAATACTATTTTTTATAACATTTTTATTTATTTAGCATAATTGCATTTATATAATTTGTTACAATATTGATAATGGTGATGTGGTTCATGTATATGCCAAGACGTGCAAATCATTCATTATCACAAAAACTAACTGTCTACAGACAAAGCCTGCAACTATCTGGCTATTTTACAGTACCTTTCGACTACTTCAACTAAATTAAAGGTTAATACATATAATTTTGCTCATTCTTATCATAATACCACCATTGAGTACCATAAAGGTGGGACATTCTAGAGCACATAACGGAGTCTAACAGGGTACATGTTCCCCTAGCCTGGTCTCAGATCTGTTTGTGCTGTTTTGCCAACATAGTATAGGACCAGTAGGAATCTAATGGCAAGTCTGTGTCCAGAGTTGACCCTCTGAAACCACCAGCAAACTCAGGGTTGGTCTGTGGGGGCCACCGATCCCTTCTTCAGATTAAGGAAGTTCCTCTTCTTCCTCTTCCTGTTGGTGGCCCCTGTCGTGTTCTGGGGCTCCGGCAGAGCGCGGAACAGAAACACCCTCTCCCCCGTAGTGGGGATGTCCAGGACTACTGCATCGTTGGCCGAGCCAGAGGTGGAGGGTGCTGCTGCAGTAGTGGAGTCAAACACAGTTTCACTGTCCACCTCTACTCCTCCCACTGAAATCAGAACAGAGTCTTGGAGCTGTTCCGAGGATATGGTTCGGCTCGTTCCAGTCGCGACTGGTTTGGGAGTGGCAACAACTCCCTCCCTCCCCTTTTCCTGGACCAACACTTGCATGACGTCCCTGCGAGCCTCGGGTCTGGGATTGAGAAAAAACCTCTCCAGCAGGCTCTGTCTCTTCTCCTGGAACCTGGAAAATGAAGAGCATGATATTTGACTATGATTTCTGAAGCATCTACAGTATATAGGCCTTTAAAAAAGTGGGACCAAAATGCATGTACTACTCTATGTTGCTATGTGCCAAATATTGTCTCTCCCAAGTTATTTCCTAGTACTTTGTAGACATACCCTTAGGCTCCAAATCAATCACTGATAAAGAAAAACAGCACTGTAGGTTGACTCACAATCAATGTTTATGCTTTATCGTTAGGTATTAACCTTTTTAAATTCGCACAGACCCACCTGTCCTTGTCATCAACATTACATTGTCAACATTCTGAGTCGATGAGAACTGATTGAATTGGGGCCTTAGATAAAGTGTATCCACATCTAAAATAAAAGCCCCAGGAAAAAGCTGAGAGGCTCTTTGTCTTGCACTTACTGGTTTCTGTCCTTGTCCATGTTGTGGGCTGATACATTCCTTCCCACCATATCCTCCCTCAGTCTGACCAGCAGAGATGTGCCTGCTCCCCCTGGCCACCTGAGAAAAAAACAGCCAGAATGGAGAAGAAAAATAGCTCTCTAGCTAGAAAGAAATTATTCACGAACGGCAGAACTGAAAAAGCGTGTGCGAGCAAGGAGGCCTACAAACCTGACTCAGTTACACCAGCTCTGTCAGGAGGAATGGGCTCAATTCACCGAACTTATTGTGGGAAGCTTGTGGAATGCTACCCGAAACGTTTGACCAAAGTTAAACAATTTAAAGGCAATGCTACCAAATACTAATTGAGTGTATGTCAACTTCTGACCCACTGGGAATGTGATGAAAGAAATAAAAGCTGAAATAAATCATTCTCTCTACAATTATTCTGACATTTCACATTCTTAAAATAAAGTGGTGATCCTAACTGACCTAAGACAGGGAATCTTTACTAGGATTAAATGTCAGGAATTGTGAAAAACAGAGTTTAAATGTATTTGGCTATGGTGTATGTAAACGTCCGACTTCAACTGTATATTTAATTGTATTCCTCTTGCGTTAGTTACTCTTTATTTATTTTTACTCTGCATCATTTGGAAAGGTTCGTAAGCAAGCATTTCACTGTAAAGTCTACACCAGTTGTATTCGGCTCATGTGATAAATAAAATGGAATTTGATTTGAATGAGTATTCTTTCCTCCTCAGAGAGATCACATTGATTAGTCTCACTACTTCGACAGTGCTGTAAGAATGCGGTTATAACCAACATTTTGCACACCAAGTAAACCAGAGGAAGGTCCTAAAATTTGTCAAAGACTCCAGCCACCCAAGCCATAGACTGTTCTCTCTGCTACCGCACGGCAAGCGGTACCAGTGCACCAAGTCTGGAACCAGCAGGACCCTGAACAGCTTCTACCCCCAAGCCATAAGACTGATAAACAAGACTGCTAAATTGCTAATCAAATGGCTACCCACTGCTACTACTGTCGATATATCCTGTTGCCTAGTCACTTTAACCCTACCTATATGTAAATATCAACCTTAATTACCTCATACCCCTGCACATCAACTCGGCACTGGTAGTCCCTGTATATAGCCATGTTATTTTTTGGGATTTGTGTGTATTGTTTTGTATTGTTAGGTATTAATGCACTGTTGGAGCTAGAAACATAAGCATTTTGCTGCACCTGCAATAACATCTGCAAAATATGTGTATGCTACCAATAAAATTTGATTTGTTATTTTTTACTTGTCATTGTTATTCGTTATTCACTGTGTATTCATTCCTCGTGTCACTATTACATTTTTATGTAACTTGAAAAAGGACTCGGAAGTAAGCATTTCACTGTTAGTCTACACCTGTTGTTTACGAAACGTGAAGATTTCATCTTGATTTGATCTTTTCGCAGGTTCTGTCAAAATACTGAAATACCAGCATTCCCCTGTATGATAAAGTCTTAGCTTGCTATTAATTCCCTACATGAATGCTGACATTTTGAAAAATGTTCTTGTAGTTCCTTTTTGTTCTACTTTGGAGTCTACTTGAAATTCCTTTTTGTTCTACTTTGGAGTCTACTTGAAATTCCTTTTTGTTCTACTTTGGAGTCTACTTGAAATTCCTTTTTGTTCTACTTTGGAGTCTAATTGAAATTCCTTTTTGTTCTACTTTTTGTGGTAGTATATTTGTGTGTGACATGTGCTTACAATTAGTGCCATAACGCAGTTTCACGGGCCCCCCCTTGTAGTTTGAAAGCTAATTTCCTGTAATAAAACATAAAAAAATGGCTTATGACGTGTTCATATGCTATCTGGGGGGCCCGACCTCCGGGGGGACCACTTGCAGGGGCTGTGGGGGTGTGTGCTACGCCAGTGGTTACAATGGCAAGAAGGGCCATATTCAAAGTTAAGTTAATAGGAGCCAAATTAAATTATTAAATTGACACATGATAAATATGTCTTATAAGCTTTTAAGACAAGAAACAAACTGCATCCAGCGTTTACTGACAAGTAACACATTGTGCTGGTGTGAGTCACTCACAGACACGCCTAAACATCTGGTGCACGGCACAAACTGCACCAAGAGTTCTTTCTCTAGTGGGATTGCTATTTTGGAGCCTGCTAAACAGTGAGCTTATGTATGACTTCACTTACTTACTGGATGTAAGTGGAGGGTTGAAATTGGCGTTAGACACCCAAGATGTGCAAGCTGTCAGATACACCATGCTCAATACTTGATTAAAGTTTACCCTGAGTTTTCAATGGCCAGGCAGAGAGTTTATGTCTCAGACTTCAAATCTGCCAAGACTGCTACTATTCGCTCTTCCCAATCTTCGCCCTCCCTTGGGAACAGCCAATATTGGCAATAGAAGATTTGAACTTTGTTGTTGTTGTTTATGTCTGTAAGCAGGAACATGCCACCGTGTGTATGGTGATGTCATGTTGACAACTCTACCTTTAAGCTCTGTTGCTGCAGATTTTAAGTCTGTTGCTGTTGTAAACAGGAAGTTGCCCTGCTATGTTTATGATGTCATATTGCAGACTCTACCTTTAAAGGGATACTGCAAGATTCTGGCCATGTTCTACTTACCCAGAGTCAAATGAACTCGTAGATACCATTTGTATGTCTCTGTGTGCAGTTTGAAGGAAGTTAGCGGATGTTTTGCGAGCCAATGCTAACTAGTTTTAGCGCAATGACTGGAAGTCTACAGGTACAGTAGCAATGCTGGCCTAAATACCAGAATCTCGCAGTATCCCTTTAAACAATTCTGAAGAAAACACTCCAATCCACTTCCAATAAGACTAATGCTAGACGAAGGAGCTTCAGTAGTTCTTACACTGTGCTCTCCTGCTCTGCGGATGCTGGAAGGACAGGTTGCTTGGGGCAGAGGGCGTCGATGAGGGAGAGCAGCTCCGACTCGGGGAGGGTTGGGAGGAGGAGACGGAGAGCCTCTAGGAGAACCTCAGTGGAGACCTGGCTCTGCCTCACCAGCCTGGCCGCAAACTCCAGATCCTGGGGAGCGATGGAGGAAAAAGAGGGATGGAGGGAAAAGAACTGGCTCCTTGGGCTTGGACTGTCAACAAAATAGTGCCTGAGACCCAGATTAAGCCTACTTCTAGACTAAAAAACAACTAAAAAGCAATTGGAGAATCACAATCATATGATGGCTAGATCACCTGGTCACAGTTTGTGTAGAGTCTCTTCAGCTCCAGCTGCTCCTTGAGATCCTCCATGGCCTGACTCCTGGCGTTGGCCTCTTGCAGCCTGGGAGAAAAAATATTAATAATGATTCTGTTCACACTTGGAGCTATGTTCTGTGTTACGCGTCATGGTGCATTTGTGTAAGAATATTTATAATATGTACAGTTATTTTAGTCAGAATAATAGCTCCATAAAGCCCACCTCTCTGTCTGCAGACTGGTGACCTGATCACACTTGTACAGGGCCTCGTGAAGGATGGTGGCCATGCGGCTGTCACGATCTATATGGAACAGTCTCCCTTGCCCTTCCTCCTCTTCCTCCTCATCTTCATTATCAGAGTGGTGTGGGTCTTTAGGTGGTCTGTGTTGGGAGGGTCCAGTCTCCAGACTCTCCAACTCTGCATGCTCTCTCTGGAGCTGGAGCTCTGCTTCCTCCAAACCCTGTAGTCACATGCAAAGGGATCAAGGTCTTCATAAAAACTTAATTCATTGAGGATATACACTGCTCAAAAAAATAAAGGGAACACTTAAACAACACAATGTCATCCACATCAATCACACTTCTGTGAAATCAAACTGTCCACTTAGGAAGCAACACTGATTGACAATACATTTCACATGCTGTTGTGCAAATGGAATAGACAACAGGTGGAAATTATAGGCAATTAGCAAGACACCCCCAATAAAGGACTGGTTTTGCAGGTGGTGACCACAGACCACTTCTCAGTTCCTATGCTTCCTGGCTGATGTTTTGGTCACTTTTGAATGCTGGCGGTGCTTTCACTCTAGTGGTAGCATGAAACGGAGTCTACAACCCACACAAGTGGCTCAGGTAGTGCAGCTCATCCAGGATGGCACATCAATGTGAGCTGTGGCAAGAAGGTTTGCTGTGTCTGTCAGCGTAGTGTCCAGAGCATGGAGGCGCTACCAGGAGACAGGCCAGTACATCAGGAGACGTGGAGGAGGCCGTAGGAGGGCAACAACCCAGCAGCAGGACTGCTACCTCCGCCTTTGTGCAAGGAGGAGCAGGAGGAGCACTGCCAGGGCCCTGCAAAATGACCTCCAGCAGGCCACAAATGTGCATGTGTCTGCTCAAACGGTCAGAAACAGACTCCATGAGGGTGGTATGAGGGCCCGACGTCCACAGGTGGGGGTTGTGCTTACAGCCCAACACCGTGCAGGACGTTTGGCATTTGCCAGAGAACACCAATATTGGCAAATTCGCCACTGGCGCCCTGTGCTCTTCACAGATGAAAGCAGGTTCACACTGAGCACATGTGACAGACGTGACAGTCTGGAGACGCCGTGGAGAACGTTTTGCTGCCTGCAACATCCTCCAGCATGACCGGTTTGGCGGTGGGTCAGTCATGGTGTGGGGTGGCATTTCTTTGGGGGGCCGCACAGCCCTCCATGTGCTCGCCAGAGGTAGCCTGACTGCCATTAGGTACCGAGATGAGATCCTCAGACCCCTCGTGAGACCATATGCTGGTGCGGTTGGCCCTGGGTTCCTCCTAATGCAAGACAATGCTAGACCTCATGTGGCTGGAGTGTGTCAGCAGTTCCTGCAAGAGGAAGGCATTGATGCTATGGACTGGCCCGCCCGTTCCCCAGACCTGAATCCAATTGAGCACATCTGGGACATCATGTCTCGCTCCATCCACCAACGCTATGTTGCACCACAGACTGTCCAGGAGTTGGCGGATGCTTTAGTCCAGGTCTGGGAGGAGATCCCTCAGGAGACCATCCGCCACCTCATCAGGAGCATGCCCAGGCGTTGTAGGGAGGTCATACAGGCACGTGGAGGCCACACACACTACTGAGCCTCATTTTGACTTGTTTTAAGGACATTACATCAAAGTTGGATCAGCCTGTAGTGTGGTTTTCCACTTTAATTTTGAGGGTGACTCCAAATCCAGACCTCCATTGGTTGATAAATTTGATTTCCATTGATAATTTTTGTTGCACATTCAACTATGTAAAGAAAAAAGTATTTAATAAGATTATTTCATTCATTCAGATCTAGGATGTGTTATTTTAGTGTTCCCTTTATTTTTTTGAGCAGTGTATTTTGTATCCTGTATGTGTGTATATGTGTATATGTGTGTGTGTGTGTGTGTAACCAAATTGCTCAGGCAGATTTGATCAAATTGAGCCATCGATGTAATATTTCACAGCTAAAGTATGAATCAGGCTACAGTGCATGCCAAAGCATCCTACATGCCACAATGTCCTACCTACCAGACAGTGGTTCTGGATGCTCTGGGCTATGGGGGCTGCCCCCAGGCTCCTGCTGGCTCGTAGTTCCTCTGTGAGTAGGCTCTGGACGGTGAGCAGAGCTCTGGAGGTCTCCAGGACCCTGGTCCTCCTCTCAGCCTTCTGGTAGTGGAGGGCGGCCATCTGCACAGCCAGGCCGTCTGCCTGGTTCTGGAGCTCCGATTCCCTCTCGCTACGCATCTCCTCCAGGACCTAGAGAGAGAGAAAGATGTTGGAGACGTCAGAGAATGAAGGGGTTTAGCTAAAGTGGTAGGAAATGAGTTAGGTTAAGTGATTAGGTCACAGTTACTCAACTAAGCTCGCCCTGGACCCTGGTGAGACATACATCTAACACCCTGTGCGCTTACTCTTATTTTCGTGTTAAATGCGCACATTTTATATCAGGTTATGGACCCGTTAGGCAGACCTAGGACCCCTAGTCATTGCAAGAGCAGGTTTATCAGTAGGCTGACTAACAGGTTTCGTAACACTAGCAGCAAACGCTAAGGGACAGTTTTTCTGAATGTGATTATAAGACCATTCCTGGAATAAAAAGGATGTTCAATGAGATAATCTACAGAGTGTGGATTTTAGTCCAGGAGTAGGCTTAATCTGGGTCCGAGAAACTCTAAAGGCCCTAAAGCTTTCAGAGTCCGTCCGGGAATATCCCCTTACCCGCCTCCGCTATATTCCCATCTCGTCCAGCTGTGCGTAAGTTTGAGAAAGTGGCAAAGGAGCAAAGGAACAAAAAGTGAGTGAATGCGACGAAAGAGCATATGTACAATATAAAAGCCTTCTCCTCCATTTTATAACAGCCCCTCGGGACAAATAAAGTTTTCGTGAATTGAATTCCACCTAACCTTCTCCATCACAGTGCTCTCCATCTCTTTTTCTTTCTCAAACAGCTGTATCCTGTCCTCCATCTTCTTCTGGAAGAGCAGCAGTTCTGAGGGGTCTGCTCGCTGTCTGCCCTCAGTGGATTTCCCTTCAGTCCTTGTCTTCCTCTGGAAAATACACAAGATGGTTAGTGAGATGGTGAGGGAAACATCTCCGCAGCATAGGCTACTGTCATTTCATCTTGACTTTTTAGCATTAGTTGCTATTTCATTTACCATCGATCACTATGGATATACAGTGAGGGAAAGAAGTATTTGATCCCCTGCTGATTTTGTACGTTTGCCCACTGACAAAGACATGATCAGTCTATAATTTTAATGGTAGGTTTATTTGAACAGTGAGAGACAGAATAACAACAAAAAAATCCAGAAAAACGCATGTCAAAAATTTTATAAATTGATTTGCATTTTAATGAGGGAAATAAGTATTTGACCCCTCTGCAAAACATGACTTAGTACTTGGTGGCAAAACACTTGTTGGCAATCACAGAGGTCAGACGTTTCTTGTAGTTGGCCACCAGGTTTGCACACATCTCAGAAGGGATTTTGTCCCACTCCTCTTTGCAGATCTTCTCCAAGTCATTAAGGTTTCGAGGCTGACGTTTGGCAACTCGAACCTTCAGCTCCCTCCACAGATTTTCTATGGGATTAAGGTCTGGAGACTGGCTAGGCCACTCCAGGACCTTAATGTGCTTCTTCTTAAGCCACTCCTTTGTTGCCTTGGCTGTGTGTTTTGGGTCATTGTCATGCTGGAATATCCATCCACGACCCATTTTCAATGCCCTGGCTGAGGGAAGGAAGTTCTCACCCAAGATTTGACGGTATATGGCCCCGTCCATCGTACCTTTGATGCGGTAAATTTGTCCTGTCCCCTTAGCAGAAAAACACCCCCAAAGCATAATGTTTCCACCTCCATGTTTGACGGTGGGGATGGTGTTCTTGGGGTCATAGGCAACATTCCTCCTCCTCCAAACACGGCGAGTTGAGTTGATGCCAAAGAGCTCGATTTTGGTCTCATCTGACCACAACACTTTCACTTTCTTTTCTTGGTGACTATGGTCCCAGCTGCCTTGAGATCATTGACAAGATCCTCCCGTGTAGTTCTGGGCTGATTCCTCACCGTTCTCATGATCATTGCAACTCCACGAGGTGAGATCTTGCATGGAGCCCCAGGCCGAGGGAGATTGACAGTTCTTTTGTGTTTCTTCCATTTGCGAATAATCGCACCAACTGTTGTCACCTTCTCATCAAGCTGCTTGGCAATGGTCTTGTAGCCCATTCCAGCCTTGTGTAGGTCTACAATCTTGTCCCTGACATCCTTGGAGAGCTCTTTGGTCTTGGCCATGGTGGAGAGTTTGGAATCGGATTGATTGATTGCTTCTGTGGACAGGTGTCTTTTATACAGGTAACAAACTGAGATTAGGAGCACTCCCTTTAAGAGTGTGCTCCTAATCTCAGCTCGTTACCTGTATAAAAGACACCTGGGAGCCAGAAATCTTTCTGATTGAGAGGGGGTCAAATACTTATTTCCCTCATTAAAATGCAAATCAATTTATAACATTTTTGACATGCGTTTTTCTGGATTTCTATGTTGTTATTCTGTCTCTCACTGTTCAAATAAACCTACCATTAAAATTATAGACTGATCATTTCTTTGTCAGTGGGCAAACGTACAAAATGAGCAGGGGATCAAATACTTTTTTCCCTCACTGTAGCCTAGGTGTTTTTGTCAATACTTTCATGCGTTAGTCTCTCTAGACAAGACGGGTTGCCTCCCACAGTGTGCCAATGCTCCAGCTTACATGTCTGTAGAAGTTCTGGCCTCAGTTGGGACTTCACTGCCATATACGCTTTTTGCCTCACTAAACATAAGCACAGTTCCTGCCCGCATTTTAAGCCCTGCCTACCCAAACTTGTGATTTGTTGGGAGAGTTGTCTGTCTGAAGAGTACCCTCCGTGGAACACTTTCTTTTTTCCTTTCCAAATGTCCAAGAGAATCCGACATTCCCCCCAGACCTAGTGCTCTTGCTCCTAGGTATGGGTTTCCAACACTATTCATGTGTTGTTATCCGCCGGGATTCAAATGCACTTCTTGTTGATGTATAATTTATTGGCAACCCCAAAATCTATTTCAAGTCAATTAATGTGTTTGTCAAAGGGAATCACTTGTTTTGCTTCCTCCAACTCCCACCTCCGGGGTCATTCATTTTTGAGTACAACTTTATTATTTCAGTTTTAAAAGAAGAACTTGTAATAAGTTAGTGCTGACTTCTTTGTGATATATATAATGCAACATGTCCAAGTTATCTTTGTCAACTGTATGTTACAGTATGTTACAGGTAAGGAGCCAGCAGAGGGCGGTATAATCATTTTGGCACAACAAACTGTATGTTTCAGATACTCCGCCTACCTCTGGCTGTGGATGTTCATCCTGCTCCTCCATCTCCTTCCGCCATGTGGACAGGGCGGTCTGCAGTTTGGAGCGGGAGAGAGCGTGGGGCAGCATCAGGCAGTGGTCCATCCTGGACAGACAGTTCTGGAACTCCAGCTTCATGTGCAGGAGCTCCTCGTCTGATAAGGTGAGCTGGGAAGAGCACAGAGACCTGGAAGGATAGAAAATACAAGCAAACACACACACAGATGGATGGTCAAACACACATGCACACACACACACACACACACACACACACACACACACACACACACACACACACACACACACACACACACACACACACACACACACACACTTAGCTCATAGTGCTAATATTTGCATTATGATACCTTAGCGGTATATTTTTTACCCCCTTTCACAAGTTATCTGAAATGTGTAGCAACATGACCATCTTCTCTGTAGCACAAGGGACTGACCTGAAAAGGTGATTGGAAAATAAATATCTGCTGACCTGAAGAAGACCCATCCCCTGGCCCTCAGCTCCTGCTGCTCCTGCAGCTCCCTCACCATGCCCTGGTGCAGGGAGTCCCTGGAGGCCTGGAGGGTCCTCACTGCCGCCTTGCCCTCCAGATGGAGCCTCTCCTGGGCCTGGGACAGGGCGCTGCTGCTGCTGGCCCTTGTGGGGGGCCCCGATTCGGGCTGCTGGAGGGGGCCACGGGGGTTCCCCAGGGCCAGCAGAGCCTGCGTGACAGCGGGCTGGATGGCCTTCACCTCCGCCATGGCGCTATGGATCACACGCATGGTGACCTGGGGGGAGGGGGAGGTCAAAGGTGAATCTCCAGTCAACAGAAAGTCAGGGAAAGTGACACTGCCTGTTTGGTTAGTTAACAATCCATGTAACTATGTATGTATAGTCATGTATGATGTTAATTTGCTGTCTAACAATAACTTTTTCAAAAACAGCTATGTTGTGTACTTATAACAAAGTAAGTCCTTTTCCTGTCTGTCAATGGTCTCGAACTGGGGACCTTCTGCAGACCAACACTTTGCACTCACAAATCAGCGTTACCTATTGCTCCACAAAAGCCATGGCCCTGGCAGAGCAAGGGAAACAACTACTTTAAGTCTTAGAGCGAGTGCTATCACTTGCACGATGGATGCTACTAGCGCACTGCTAACTAGCTAGCGATTCGAAATCGGCAACATATGTTGTGCAAGTTATAGCTACCAGTTACCTAATCTAACAGTTGTATATAAAGAGAGAGGCGGGTGTTATTTGGGTTACCTTACGGATGTCTGCAGCGGCCTCCTCGTCCAAGTTGTTGATGAGCTCTCCAAGCTCCAGGCACTGGGCGGTCAGCAGGCTCTGCCAGCAGCAGAGGTGCTGGGCCGGCTCCACCTCCACCCTGTCCTCCTCCAGGCCCCCTCGGGACAGGATCGACAGCTCCTTCTGCCTCTGCTTGTGGCCCTGCAGCTGGATGAAGAGAAAAAGGCAAGGTTGAAAACCCCAAAATCGACCCCTGGCACCTAGAAATGTAATGAACAGAGCTGATGTTCGTTCAATATATGTTCATCTGAATATTCCACTATGGTGTGCCCTGCTGAACACAGCAAAACCTAGCTGTTACCTATTTAAATTCAAATTCAGATTGCTTTATTGGCATGAAATACAATTTGTAGATATTGCCAAAACAGTATAGCGGTACAGCATTTGAGCAAATACAGTACAATGCAATGAGGATAATGAATACAGTTAATTTCAGTAGTAATAATTATAGTACATATAATCATGTATACAGGTACAACACTACTGCTGTTGTATTGTGTAATCTTTGGTCGATACATTTATTAAATAAAAATACAATTATAAAAAAGACAAAGAAAGAATGGTCACTAAACAACAAAATGTACATGGATGATGGTTACACTTTGTATTACTTGTAAGTTATATACAATGTAAATACTCATGGGTTGTCCCTCAGGCTATGGCAATTGTATACATATCTGGCAGTAATATTTGTGGTTTCTCCCTTACCCAGAATAATTCCAACTTTATGTGATTAGTAAATGCACAGATGTTGGGAATTGATTGAGATATTTTCTTGAAAAAATATGAGCTTATTTGGGAATATTTCTCACAGTAGAGGAAAAAGTGCAAATTCATTATTTATCTAATGAAGATAGGCAAATGTATTGCCTGAGAGCAACACTGTGAAGTTTGTGTTAAACGACGAACTGTCAATCATCTCACCATGTCGGAGATGAGGTCCCTCCTCTTCTTGACCAGGCCACAGTGCATGGCCCTCCTCTCCCGGTTCAGAGCCTCGTCCAGGCCCTGCTTCAGCAGCACCAGTTCCTTCTGGGCCTTGTCTAGCAGCAGATCCACCTGCTCTTCAGACACATCGCTCCCCCTGGTGGAATACAGGCAAGGTTGCATTTTAGGAATGTAGGCTACATCTAGAATGAAAGATTTAGACCAGGGATACATTTACGTTTCCCAAGTTTCCCGAACCCCTTAGTAGTCTACAATGGCTTAAGGACAGGTAGGTAGAAGACAACAGATGCTATAAAATCTGACATACAGTATAACACATGTAGAGAGTCATAGCACAAACCAACCTCCTGTGCTGGTTGAAGCAGTTCTCTATCTGGCTGGAGGTCCTGGAGAAGGTCTCAGAGATGAGGCCCTTCAGGCTGTGGAGGCTGTGCACCAGGAACCTCCTCTGGGCGTGGCGCTCTCCCAGCATGCAACGTTGGTTGGCCAGGACCACATCCAGCACCTCCTCCAGCTGATTCTAGAGAGATGAGATGTGATGAGATCAAATAAAATGAGATGAGATAAGATGAATTGAGAAGACATGCAATGAGATATGTGATATGTGGTTGTCTCACCTAGCTATCTTAAGATGAATGTACTAACTGTATAATATAATAATAATATATAATATGCCATTTAGCAGACGCTTTTATCCAAAGCGACTTACAGTCATGCGTGCATACATTTTTTTTTTTTTTTTTGGTGTATGGGTGGTCCCGGGGATCGAACCCACTACCTTGGCGTTACAAGCGCCGTGCTCTACCAGCTGAGCTACAGAGGACCACAACTGTAAATCGCTCTGGATAATAGCGTCTGCTAAATGACTAAAATGTCAATGTCAATGAGATAAGATGAGAAGAGAAGAGATGGTAAGAGATGAGAATAAATTATATGAGATAGTATGAGACAAGATATGTGAAGATGAGAGGACATCAAATGAGAAGAGATTAGATGAGATGAGAAGAAATGAGAGGCACAACTAGTTTTCCCTTATCACAGTATTTCCCCTTGACTTTCCCATTTAGCCCAAAACAACTTTCAGGGATACACACAGCGAAACATTGCTGAAAACTATTGCTGAGGTAGCTCATACCTGAACATTTACGCTGTCTGTTTCAAAGTGTTTCCTCCTTTCTGTTCCTACTGAACGGGACCATTTTCACTAGCTCACCTGATAGGCAAAGTAGTCATGCAGGAGACTCCTGGCCTCGGTCTTCTCCAGCTCGCCCATCCTGGTGGCTTCCTCCAGCTCTTCTGAGAAGATCTTGTGCAACTCCACTCTCCTCCACTCCACTATCTGCCTTTGGACCTTGGCAGAGGCCTCCTCGTGTCTCACCAGCAGGGTGCGCTGGAGCTGACTCTGGTTCAGCTTGTGGAGCTTCTCCAGGAGGACACTGCATTGGAGGAGCTCCTGGAGAATCAACCAGAATCAACCAGACCTGTGTCAAATATAAGTGTGAAATACTTGAAGGGCACTTGAGTTAGCCTATCCAGTGCCATGGAGAGCTACTGGTTGTGCAGGCTTTTGCTCCAGCCCACCACAAATACACCTGCTTCAAATAATCACCTAACCATAGTCTTGACCATAATGAGCTAAATCAGATGTTTAAGCACAGGGCTGGAGTTGTAACTCCATCTGTGCCCGTAGGCTCCATTTATGGCCTGTTTAACCACATTGCTCTCTACCTCTGCCAGTGGTATTTGATTGATAATAGCCACTACAGTACCTGTTGGTCAGAGTGTTGAAACAGCACCTCTGCCCGGGCCTTCTCCTGGGCCTCCCTGCGATGCGCCGCCTCCATCTGCTCCCGGGTCTCCAGGTTACACTGGGCAGCCAGGGTTGCCATGCGTGCCATGTGCTCCTCCTTCAGCTTGCCCTCCATGCCCATCAGCTGGCCGTGGAGCACGCTCAGTAGGCGCTGCTCGGCCTGCTGGGACATGTGGTTCTGGGAGCGCAGCGCGGCCAGCAGGGCTGCGATCACATCTTTGTACATCTGGACCCGACTGCTCTCCAGGCTGGAGGTGGCTCGCAGCAGGCTGGACATCTCCAGGCTGTGAGGTGTCAGATATATGTTATAAAGTTTTATCTGACTTTTCCACTTTATCGTTCATCAACACGTAGTTTACTGCAGTCAAATGACCAAATCGTCCTCTAGTGGCCTCATGGGTGGAATATTGTTAATATTTTTCATAATTTCATATATAATAAACATTATTATATTTATTTTTTTGAAAATTCTGTGTTTCTATGTGAAACTGTTTTGCTATAATTCAGTCCTCTGTGATGTATATAAAGTGTAATATTGGGATGCAAACTCAAAATGGAGTACATTTAAACTCTATATCATGGTACGTGTCTTCTTTTTAAAAAAGTCCATAACCATGTGTGTTAGGATTATTCTTTTGTTTCAAAGTAGATTTGTTTAAGACTACCAAGCAACACCCTGAGTGACCCTGATTTAGCCCACTGCAGTAAAAGGTTGATGCAGACAGGTATAATGCCAGTGTTTCCTTTATATTCATTTACCACCGGCGGGCCACCATTACTAAAACGTGTCCATTACTAAATATAATACTTTTTCGGATGGTACAACATTTTCAGTTTAAACTTAAACGACTAAAACCAGACATAAAGTATGTAGTAAAGGTAATAGAGTTATATATTTTTAAATAAGATCATCTTTGAGAACTAACAACCACCAGAATAAAAACCCGACAGTCAGGGAGTATAAAAATGTCCCAAAATGTCAAGGGGCCCCCATTGATTGTCTTATAATATTTGAATCAGTCGGATAGCATAGAATTGCAGGAAATGTTCTTTAAAACTGATTATATTTTCTCAGCCCCATGACTAAATGTTTTGAATTGCAGGAAACTAGCTTTAAACTGTACAATTTTCTCTCCGCCCCATGGCAACATGTGTAGAATTGCAGGAAATTAGCTTTAAACAGCAAAAAAAAATGCCAGTATGTGCGGCCATGAGGAGGGTCTCTAAAATGTTTGGTCAGAAAACATGCCATTGGCCAAGCCCCACGCTATCTTTGCCAAAATTATAGGGGAAACACGGAATGCAATATGATGCCTCAATAATTATATGCACGTATGACCCCCTTATAAAGCAACTTCTCATAATGACCAAATAACAGCTCCTTTCAGTCTAGTCAGAATAGAAATACACTGAACAATAATATGAATGCAAATGGTAAAGTGTTGGCCCCAAATTCTCTCAAATTTTGTGCACAAATTTGTTTACATTCCTGTTAGTGAGCATTTCTCCTTTGCCAAGATAATCCATCCACCTGACAGGTGTGGCATAACAAGAAGCTGATTAAACAGCATGATCATTACACAGGTGCACCTTGTGCTGGGGACAATAAAAGACTACTCTAAAATGTGCAGTTTTGTCACACAACACAATGCCACAGATGTCTCAAGTTATGAGGTAGCGTGCAATTGTCATGCTGACTGCTGGAATGTCCACCAGAGCTGTTGCCAGATAATTGAATGTTAATTTCTCTACCATAAACCGCCTCCAATGTCGTTTTAGAGAATTTGGCAGTACGTCCAACTGGCCTCACAACCGCAGACCACATGCAACCACGCCAGCCCAGGACCTCCACATCCGGCTTCTTCACCTGCGGGATCGTCTGAGACCAGCCACCCAAACAGCTGATGAAACTGCTGTGGGTTTGCACAATCAAATAATTTCTGCACAAACTGTCAGAAACCGTCTCAGGGAAGCTCATCTTTGTGCTCGTCGTCCTCACCAGGGTCTTGACCTGACTGCAGCTCGGCGTCGTAACCAACTTCAGTGGGCAAATGCTTACCTTCGATGGCCAATGACACACTTGAGAAGTGTGCTCTTCATGGATGAATCCTGGTTTCAACTGTACCAGGCAGATGGCAGACAGCGTGTATGGTGTTGTGTGGGCAAGCGGTTTGCTGATGTCAACGTTGTGAACAGAGTGCCCCATGGTGGCGGTGGGGTTATGGTTCTTCCATGGCCTGTATACTCACCAGACATGTCACCCATTGAGCATGTTTGGGATGCTCTGGATAGGCGTGTACGACAGCGTGTTCCAGGTCCCACCAATATCCAGCAACTTCGGCACAGCCATTGAAGAGGAGTGAGACAACATTCCACAGGCCACAATCAACAGCCTGATCAACTCCATGCGAAGGAGATGTGTCGCGCTGCATGAGGCAAATGGTGGTCACACCAGATACGGACTGGTTTTCTGATCCACGCCCCTACATTTTTTTGACTGATTTCCTTATATGAACTGTAACTCAGTAAAATCTTTGTAATTGTTGCATGCTGCATTTATATTTTTGTTCAGTGTACATAATACAGTTCCTAAGCCTAGAGTTTAAGACATAATAAAACCTCATATATGCTTATGACAAGTAATAAAACATTATTTCTTTTGGCGTTTCCATACTCACTTCTCCAGAGCTTGATACATGTTCTGAGGGTCTTCCAGCACCATGATGTCCACCATCTTGTCCTCGAATGCCGCCTCTTCTTTGGTCGTCTCGCTCATGTTGCATACTGCATACTCAGGGTCTGAATCACCTCGCTTTTTCTTTGGGAATGACAGACATACAAAGAGAAATAGCAACAATCTCTGTACTGTGGACTGTTTACTGTGGACTGTTTTCAAATAGAACAAAAAAAATCGTAGTCAATGAACAAGAGGAGAAAAATCTTTAAAATAATCTTTAAAATGAAATACAAAAGAGAGTCAATTTGTTCACTTTTTATTGGTTTCATTGTTGTTTTTTGCCACGGCTGTGTGGCTAACAAGCAGCCATATCTGTTTGTGCTGTCTTGCCTACTCCATTGCTGTCATTGTCACACAGCAATGGAGTTGGCAGGACATCACAAACAGATCTGGGACTCAGGCTAGCTAATAGTGGTGAGGTTATAATAACAACGTCTTACCCTTCGCTCCAGGGAGTATTTCCTGGCTCGGGCACATATCAGGTTCATGGCCAGAAATCCCAGGGACAGCAGCAACAAGGACAGAAAGAATCCACCAACAAACCCAGCAAAATGGACACAGTGATTGGGGTAAATCTGAAAGTGTATAGTGAGATTAGGTCATATTCATCAATATTCACTTAATATATGAAATAGAGAAAGAAATTACTATCAGGGGCATGGACAATACTGTAATCTGATTACTGTGATGAAATGTATGTAAGGTTTAGCATTGTAAACGCAGCAGTATTTTGAGCATGATTATCAACCAACATCACATTGATAAACTAAGCAATGAAGGCTTCAAGGTTACCTTGTCCGTGGAGTTAACTCTCAGTGTCAAATTAGCCACCACCGGACCAAACATATTGACGTCATTCTGTGGAGCGAGAGTAACAGTATAAATTACCCTAGAATAATGCCTACGTACAGCAATGTTGCTGCTTTGGCAATACACACAGAGCAAGCGAAAAAGGGACAAGGTGTTTGCGGTACCAGTGAAGCATTGGAGAAGGTTAGGAAGGCAGGAAGGTCCAGAATTTCACTCTTGTGAACCTTGATGAGGGCAGTATACGTCACAACGTACTGAGATCCTGCTGCAGAAACACAACCAAAACAACAATGATATTAACTATGGTTGGAAATATTGAGTAAAAAGCTAATACAATAATTTTAACAATGGTCATAATAACTCCAATTGGATAAGTTCAGGTGCCACAGCCTCTGTTCTGTCGCATGGAGCCTGGGTCATGTTCAGTGGCGTACACCGTAGCAAAACAAACTGAAAATCAGTGCTTCTTATTCAGTTCAGGCAGTATCTCCCTGTTTCAAATGTAGGCTATTTTCTCATTTTGTGCATACTGAACACAACCCTGGTGATCTTACTGCCTTCCTGACTGATTGACGGACAGACTGACTGCCTTCCTGTCAGACTGACTGACGGACAGACTGATGAGACAAATTTCTCATGACTCTTGTGTACCTGACAGTGAGTCGATTGTGAAGGTCTGGAAGCCTTTCTCCACCACCATCCCCCCACTCTGCAGGGGTGCTATCCCAGAGACCGAGTCTCTGATGGCCAGCTGGGAAAGGTTGGTGCCCCATGGAGGCCCAATGTTGTGGATGAGCAGGAAGAACGTCAGATGGGGAAACTCGGTCCCTGCATCCACCTGTGTCCCAAAGGAGCATATAGAATACATAGTATATGAGGGCACATTGTACTGTATATGAGGACATGAGACACATGCCTCATTGGGAAAACCTATACACTACTAGATATCGAGTCTATCCGAACAGTAAAGAGCAATGCAAGACCATCCTCTACAGAATCTACATGACTTACCTGGGCACATTTGTGAAATTTGAGTCCAAATGCTGATGGCTCTGCAGCACTTTGAATCTGAAAGAAAATACAAAGTAAACACGTTTTTCTGTTTCACAAAAGCATGGGATGGAAAATTGTCCCATTATGTTCTATTAGGACTTTTGACCGACTCCCCTGGACTATGTCTCTGTGTGTGTGTGTGTGTGTGTGTGTGTGTGTGTGTGTGTGTGTGTGTGTGTGTGTCCATGCGTGTGTACCTACCTGAGGCAGAGTGTGACCAGTGATGTATCTGGTGAGACTGCTCCTGCGGCTCCGGGCCCTATGCTGCATGATGTTGGCCAGGTGGCTTAAGGAGGCGTAGAGGGACTGGCCCCCAGGGCCGGCTGGGGCCACAGAACGAAGAGGACCCTCTTCAGCACAGAAAGCCAAGGGCCCACATGGCCCTGGTTGCCCTGTGAAGTAACATTGGCTAACATACAATAGTGTACAGTAACAGTACAGTACACATAGTTCTGATGACACAGTGGGTTAGAGCAAATTTAACAGTGTAACCGGTGGAATTACTGTCATAGGCTACTTGCGGTTGAGAAGGCCATGTCACTTTTGATGTTATACCCTTATTGTTACCCTAGGGATGATACAAATGTTGCTGAATACATAAAATAACAAACCATCCATCTTCTTCAAACTCGGCTCTGCTGATTTTCCACCAGGGTCATGTTGAAATGGTCTAGGAGAGTCCTGTTGAAGGGCAAACATAGTGAAAAACAAAACCTGGTCAACGACTGCATAGCAGGCAGACAGATATAGATGTACAACCCTTGCAATAGGACAGGCACAGAAATAAGGGAATTGGACTCACTCTTGGTCGACCATTTCCAAACGCGTTCTGTCGAGTTCCCGATGACAGTAGAGAGATGTAACAGAACGCGGAATGTACGTTGTTGCTGTCCCCCATGATAGCGGAATGGTATGGATTTTCATGATGGCTTACATTATGGAACCCATACGAATGAAAAGGGCAGTGTTGTAGACACTGTATCCAAAATATAGGCCTATATTCTAGTTGAAAATAGAAGAAAATAGTGCATACAGTGACTACCTTCACGAGGAAATGTACCTGAAGCATTCGTTTGTTCTAAAACTTTCACTACATTCCCGAAATCCGTTACATTTTGCATCCTCTTGCTACTGTATTAGACAATGGAAACATTGTCATTGTTCACTGATAACACGAAATTGTGTTACAACATATCTAAAAAGGTGGCATGCAAAAGAGAAAAAAATAGCATGCGAAACATTTTCTCGACTGTAAAAACATAGGTCATGGAAATGGGTCATCCAAACTTCCTTGAAGACTTTCCCAAAACTTTGAAGAAAGGGGCAAGCTCCACCCCTAAATGTCTTGCGTTTCGTCAAATCTGTTCAATGATTGGTTCAAGACTCAATCTGTAAAACATCGAATCTAACTGCCACAAAAAAAGTGTTTTGTTAGTTACGGTGTCATACCTCAAGTAATTACTTTTTCTACCATACATTAATTTTTTTAAAGTAACTTTTGGGGTTGTTTTCTGTAGATCAATGGTTTGCGGTCTTTGTCCATGACCAGTCTGAGTTGTTGTCCTGATTCTTTCTTTCAGACGTAGCCTAAAATAGTTTTTTTTAAATGAAGAAATGCGCATTTTTCGTCTATTTTCTTCCTTTGCACCCGGGAATTATCCAAAATGAACGACCACGACACGATTACTGAATGCTCAAATGATGTCTTTGTTCACTTTGCAGAATCTCTGCACATATTTACAGGATTATTGACAGTTGCCACTGTATGCGGGGTTTTTTCTGGAATAATAGCTGCAGCCCTTCTGTATGTGTTTTGCCTGAAGCCTATGCTTCTAACTCGACAAGTAAGTTTGTAAAGGTGTTTATTATAGGTTTGTATTAGTTTGTGTTATAACTCGTTGGTTGGATAGCCAAATAGCCTAGCCTACTGCATTGGCAATAATTTTACATTTTAGTAGACGCTCTTATCCAGAGCGACTTACAGTTAGTGAGTGCATACATTTTCATACTGGCCCCCCGTGGGAATCGAACCGACAACCCTGGCGTTGCAAACGCCATGCTCTACCAACTGAGCTACACGGGACTATAATAACAGCAATAATCAATAACACTGCAGTCATAAGCTCACTATTTGGCAAGCATCAGCATAACATTAACACTATTTATAACTGTTTAATAACTGAAGTCTGTAGTCCTTTTGAATAAACCCAGTTCAAAATGATCCCATTCAAAAGGACTAGCTGTCTTCCATTCCTTTCCACCAGGGCTATGATGCCAGAAGACTGTTTGAGGGAGACGACCAGGATAGGGAGAACAACCAAAGTGACTGTGTCAGCAACAGCAAGAAGGGTGTCCAAAGTGCCACTACCAATGAAAAAGTAAATATTATGTATTTTAGTTATAGATATGGAATATTTGAGCACTATAAATATGCTTTAGTGTGATAGATATATTGCAAGGTAGATACACTTCGAAAAAATAGTTCCAAAAGTGTTCTTCGGCTGTCCCCAAGTATAACCCTTTTTGGTTCCAGTTAGAACTCTTTTGGGTTCCATGTAGAACCCTCTGGGGAAAGGGTTCTACCAGGAACCAAAAAGGGTTATCATATGGGGACAGCCGAATAACTCTTTTAGGTTCTAGATAGCACCTTTTTTCTAAGAGTGTACAGTATGTGTAAAGAAAAGCTGAGTTGGCTTTCATTAACATTCACCCAACTTCATTAACATTTTCCCTAAAAATTCACTGTGTTTATTCATTTACCAGGAAAAGAAGCAGCCACCCGTGAACAGCGATGTGGCTGCTTTTGCATCACGGGCAAAGGTGGTGTACCCCATCAACCAGAAATACAGAGTAAGATCATCTATCTGTTTATATTACAGCCTTCATACCACATGTAACCAAATCTATCCAAATTGGAACACTAATTGCAATGTAATTTTGCCTTTATTCTGAGAGGATGGGATAGGGTTAAAGGGATAGTAAAGCACAAATACATATTTAGATATTTGTTCTGTACCCTTTAAAAGCAGTCTATGGCTGAACTATCCCTTTAAAGATCGAATCTGCATTAACAGTGCCACTGTTCGCACCAAAGCCTTTGTTATTGTGTTTGTTTTATTGACGAAACAGAGGTGAGCGTCCAGCAGTGTGTTAAAAAAATGTGCACTACATATTCTGCAGATATATCGTGCATGCAATGATGTCCAAGGGGGAAAAAAACATGTTTGTTGTTTGCAGTAACATCTTTGTTGTAATACCCCAAATGGACGTGGCAGTTTCACCATTAAGGACTCCAGCTTTAAAGACCACATTTTAGGTATAGAAACATCTAGCAAACTTTGACTTTGAGGTGAACTGTCCCTTTAACGTTACATCCCAACGTCAGCCCTTAGCGGATGGAGCCTCCAACCCCTCACTGCATGAGCACTCCAAGCTGCCTGTCCTCCCCAATGGAGAGTCCTCGTCGGGCTCCAGCGGGGATTCACTGAGCCAGGACCAGGACAACGACGACAGCAGCCAGTACATCTCCTCCTCACTGGTCCCCAAGAGTATGCAGAACGAGAGCTTCACCAGGGTGGCCCTCTACCCCCACACACTCTCTCAAACAGGGTGAGCTGATGGGGAACATATATTTCAGTTAATTAAAGTGCTTGCTTCACCAGGAACACTACTATTATTTGGCAGTGTATGAGGATGTCATATTGCTGAGTCTCCCTTTACCGTTCTGTACTGTAAATGCTTATTTTCTAATGTAATTTTGTTACCACTGTAGTTTTGAGGGCAGGATCAGCCTGTACTGTCTGGCCCTGCAGGACGTGCAGATACACTGTTCACAGGTCCTGGAAGAGAAATGTGTGGTGGGTGACCTCTTTCTTTCATCACACAGTAGCAAACAATTAGGTAACACTTTCTATGAGCCAATTAATGCATTATGAATGCACTTATAGTGCCTATTATCTCCTTATATTGCATTATAAGACTTGTTTTTAAGTGCATTTCCATTGATAATATGACAACAGTACTAGTTTGCTAAAATGTTGTGTAAAATGTTGGTGGGTCCAAATCTCAAGAAGATATCTCCCTTACCTCTCCCATTTCCTTGTTGTAGCTCTTTCTCCAAATTCTCAGAATTATACTCAGTGGTCGTTTTCCCAAGGATAAAAAGGATTCAGGTTTTTACACCAATGTTCTTCTCCTGCAAGAAAAGGTACAATCTTAATCCAAATCTTAGCATGAGATGTGCATGCGTAACATGATTTCTCACAAACCTGCTTTTAAATTCTGAAGTAAGGATTCTGATCTTTATTGATTTTCTCATCTCTTTGTAGGAACTGGGTTTATTAAAGAAAGAACTGTCAGCCAGCCTGTTTGCCTGTGAAAGAAACAAAGATTTAAGTTCAGATCCTTGTACCCTGGAGGAGATCGAAAGAACTCAGAAAGATCTACTGGAGCAGGCGCTTCAAATGGTAACCAAGTCAACTAGATCAAAGCACGACCAAATCTTTGAACCGCATAGTGTGTAATTCACATTATACCAATTGAACCACCAACATGGAACCACATTGTCTGCTCTAGCAAAGTAAAATATTATTTCACTGACAATGCAATTGCCAGTTTGATGACAAAAATCTTGGAAGTTTATGGAGGAACATTTTCTTTAAAAACTTGGAAGTTTGTGGGCAAACTTTATGTATGTCTATCTCCACAGACCAAGGGCTTTAGCAAGCAGGTGGAGGCCTTCTGCCAGAGCCTCCTTGGCAGGTCCAGTGTTCTTCCCAGAGAAGAGGCCCAGGATGTCATCCACACCCTTATCCACTGTCTCCTATTGGTTGAAAACCAGCTAACTGAGACTCAGGCCGCAGACATGAAGGTGAGATATAAGAACAATAAACATTTAAAGATACAGGCCATAGAAGTTGTTTTTGACATAAAAGTAAGGCATTTTCAGAACTGCATTTGCACCGAAAGCTTTGTACCTTTAATGAGGTTGCATGCATGGCCACTGTTCTACATGGATGCATTACATGTAAAAAAAAAAAACTACAAAAAAAAAACTACAACAACAACACAGAAAATACGTAAAAATGTAACACACATAAAACAATTATAGTAGGATTTCTTGTCATACTTCTTACACTTATCTAGTCTTCATGGCCTATAGGGTCTATTTATTGATGAGGGCCTGCATCCATCTCTCTTTCCCCTGGCTCTCTCCCAGAGGACCCAGGAGAAGCTGTTGTGGTGGGAGGAACTGAGGGTTGTGCTGCAGGCCAAGCCGGCCCTGCTCCGGCAGGAGGCGTCCCTCAGACAGGACCTGGTGGCCCGAAGCCTGGAGCAGCTGACCAGTGACGGCCACCTGACCTTCGCCACCATGGAGAAGACCCTGGCCGAGCTGCAGGCAGCCCTGACCGAGGGGCTGCAGCACTGCAGCGAAGGTGAGTGATGCTGCAGACGCACATGCATGCACGCACGAGCATGGACATACACAGATGCATGCCCACACACATGCACCCATGCACCTACGCACACACACACACCACCTACATTCTTTGATAATCTATAAGTAGTGTTCCCTTATATTCATAAATCGTTACCGCCACTTAATAAAATATAATACAAAATAAATAATATTTATATAATTTTTAGTAAAACGTTTTCAGTATAAACTTAAATGACTAAAACCAGATATAAAGTATGTAGTAAAGGTAATAGAGTTATATATTTTTAAATAAGATCATCTTTGAGAACTAACAATCACCAAAATAAAAACTAGACAGTCAGGGAGAATCTAAAATGTCAAATATGTCATGGAATGGGGCCCCCATTGATTTTGTTATAATATTTGAGTCACCCAGATAGCATAAGAACACGACATAAGCTAGTTGCAAAATGTGTAGAATTGAAGGGAATTAGCTTTAAAACTGCACATTTTCTCTCAGCCCCATGGCAAAATGTGTAGAATTGCAGGAAACTAGATTTAAACTGTAACATTTTCTCTACGCCCCAAGTCAAAATGTGTAGAATTGCAGGAAGTTTGCTTTAAAACAGCAAAATGTTGTCTCTGCGGCCAATACGAGGGCCAGAGATCGCGCCATTGGCCTGACATACATTATTGTTGCCGCGCGCCACCAACTCCAAGTAGCCAACCGTTGAAGCGAAGAATCTGGTGTGTGTTCAACAAAAGAGTGACCTCAATGAATTCAATATCAGGTAAAAACATAGACATTAGGAGTGAGTTCTTAAATTTGCCCCCAGTGCGTTCTGGGACGTTCTTAAATTAAGAGCATTGTAAGAGCATTCAGAGCGTTTCTCTTTCGGGGCGAGGAGTAGGGTTGATCCAAGCTTTCTGACCTCACAACGACAGTCAAGCTAACTAGCTAATGTTGGTTAGCTTGCTAGCTACTTCCAGACACAAATGAGAGAACACCTCACTCTGACCATTTTACTAACAGAGCTGGTTATACTGTTTTCATGTTATCTAGAGGGTTAATGACTGGACTGGCAACAATTAAATTTAGTTTTTTATCCGATGTTTACTGACACCTGTCATAACAACCGGGTGCTAGGTCTCAAACCAGAGTGCTCTGATATCGGAGTAGATTGCCAGGGTGAATTTACAAATGCAACCTAGATTAACGTTCTAATTTATGTGAAATCATTACCCAGAGGGCAAAATTTGGCACATGACGTCTTTGTAACCAGTTGTGCCCACTGGGCAGTTGTGTAATTCTCTAGTACCCTACTGAACTTCCCTCCTGAGGAATATGGTGGTAATCTTTCAGTATTATGTGGCCTAGTTCCTCATCTTAAATTAACTGGCTTCTTAAAATGTTCAGTGCCCCTTCTCCATTGCTAAAAAGAGTGTCAATCAAACAAATGAATAGTGATTATTCTTTGAGTGCGCTGTTATAACCAATGCAAACCACACTGTAGTGACAATAAAATATAATTGTATGGTTATACCATTTTGATATAAGTATATTGTGTAGTAATGTAGTTTACTACACAACTCTAAATGATATGTGCGGAATGATACACAGAATAATGAAGTGAATTGTGTTAAAAGGAAACTGGTCAAATTATGTGCCAAATCAGCAACTTAGTGTAGTAACATTGTAATTTACATATAATGATGTCAATAAATCAAAACTACATGTAATGAAATTTTTTTATACAGAATGCAGGCTAAAGACCAAGGAGCTTGTGTATGAAAAGTGCAAGAAGATCGACTCCAAGAAGAAGAAACTCCTGAGGACTCACGCAAAGGAGAGAAGCCGTGTCCTGGATTCTGCACAGACGCACAGCGACCTACAGGAATTTGTAAAGGTCATTATCTCTCTTTTAGTTCCTTGTCATGTGTCCAGTGCCACAACAATAGTAGTAGTAACGGTACTGCTAAACTACTTCTCTATTCACTCACTTCACTATAAAGTCTACTTCGGATAAGTACAAACTCTGTGGATTATTGTTTTCGAGTTCCATTACATTACATTGTTAATTGCTCCTTGTAACTGTATGCTCCGGTTTAACAGTTCAATTCTCTTCTCCAGGTGTATCAGGAGCTGCTTCTGAAACAGAGGAAGCAGAGCAGTGACTTGGAACTGCAGCAGGATGGGAGAGTGGCAGAGGCAGTGTGTGATCTTTGGAGGGTAGGTCGTAATTACGGCATTTCACCAAAAACTTTATGGACCAAATAATGATGATCCACACTTCTTTGACAATATATATAATACAGTATCAACCCTGCAAGCAATACAATACTCTATTATTATGGTGGGAGATTATAATACTGTATTAAATCACACTACAAGCTATCACCCTCATGCTCTTGAGGAAATCGTGAATGTCATGGATACATTAGAACTAGTAGATATATGGAGGCTTAAATATCCTGACCTAGTGAGATATACATGGCGAAGACTCAATCAAGCTAGTCGTCTTGACTTCTTTCTTATGTCATTGTCGTTGGAATCAAAAGTTTAAAAAGTGTTGATAGGGGACAGAATGCGGTCAGAACATCATATAATTGGCATATACATTACTCTTACTGAATTTACACGTGGGCGAGGATATTGGAAATTTAATCAAAGCCTATTAGATGTTAACTTGTTTTTAACTAGGACAGAGGAATTTATAACTGATTTCTTCCAACATAACATAGGTACAGCAAATCCCCTTATTGTATGGGACACTTTTAAATGTGCCTTTAGAGGCCATGCAATTCAGTACTCATCTCAAAAAAACAAAAGCAATTTAGGTCAAAAGAGTCCATACCAACAAAGGAAATAGAAGGTCTAACAGAACAGATAGATAGCAATAAAAACTGTAACATAGAGGCTCAGAATAAATTAGAGGAAAAACAAAAAGGAATGGAGAAACTTATTCAAGAAAGATCAAGTGTAATATATTATAACAAATAAATAGAATGGAATATGGGAAAAATGCACCAAATTATTTTTTTATCTTCAACATAGAAATGCTATCAAAAATTATTTACTGAAACTAGTTACAAATGACGGAGTCAACCATGATTCACCAAATTATATTTGGAAGGAGGAAGCGAAGTACTTTAAGGATATGTTTTCGTTTCAGTCGCTTCCATCTCCTCTAACTGAAGCTAATTGTAGAGATTTTTTTTCTATTGATAATGTAAAATTAACAGCCATACAAAAAGACTCATGTGAAGGTGAAATTACAGAGGAGGAACTTCTGGATGCAATAAAAAACTTTAAGTCCAGGAAAACTCCAGGGTTGGATGTCATACCAATCGAGGTATACCAAACCTTTTTTGAAATACTCAGAGAACTGTTATTAGCATGTTTTAACCACTCCTATGTAAATGGTAGATTATCAGACACTCAAGAAGAAGGTCTGATTTCATTATTACTGAAACAGGATACAAGTGGAAAATATAAAGATCCAGTCCATTTAAAAATTGGAGGCCCTTTACACTTCAGTGTTATGATGCAAAAACTTTTGCAAAATGTGTAGTGCATAGAATTAAAAAGGTATTGTCTGACATTATTCATTCTAATCAGACAGGTGTTTTACATGGACGATACATTGGAGATAATATAAGGCAAGTACTGGAAACAATAGAACACTATGAAAAATCTGGGAAACTAGGCCTGCTATTCATAGCAGACTTTGAAAAGGTATTTGATAAAGTACGACTGGAGTTTATATATAAATGCCTGGAGCGTTTCAATTTTGGAGAATCTCTTATAAAATGGGTTAAAATCATGTATAGTAACCCTAGGTGTAAAATAGTAAAAATGGCTATTTCTCTGAAAGTTTTAAACCGTCAAGAGGAGTGAAACAAGGTTGTCCACTATCGGCATATCTATTTATTATGGCCATCGAAATGTTTGTGTCACGATCGTTACATGATGAAGCGGACCAAGGCGCAGCGTGATAGGCGTACATACTTTATTTAGTGTACACAACACGAACCAAAACAACAAACCAAACGATACGTGAAGTCCTAGGTCATAACACAAACCTTTCGGATCAAGATCCCACAAATAACTAGTGCCAACAGGCTGCCTAAGTATGGTTCCCAATCAGATATAAATGATCTAGAACAAAACATAGAAAACTATAACATAGAACCTACACACCCTGGCTCAACATTAAAGAGTCCCCAGAGCCAGGGCGTGACAGTACCCCCCCCCCCCCCCCCCCCCCCCCCCAAAGGCGCGGACTGCAACCGTGCCACACAAACACAAGAGGGTAGGGGCCGGGTGGGCATTCCGCCTCGGAGGCGGATCCGGCTCCTGGCGTGACCACCACCCTTTCTCCACCTCCCCGTTGCGCCCCTGGTCTGGTCTGGCTCCGCTGGCCAGAGCTGGACTGGACACCGGTGGAGCGGATTGCTCTGGCTCCGGTGTGGAGCAGCTGACCGGTGCCGGACCAGGCACCGGTGGAACAGGCACGGACCGTGCCGGACTGACGACGCGCACCACTGGCTTGGTGCGGGGAGCAGGAACGGGCCGGACCGTGCTGACGACGCGCACCACTGGCTTGGTGCGGGGAGCAGGAACGGGCCGGACCGTGCTGACGACGCGCACCACTGGCTTGGTGCGGGGAGCAGGAACGGGCCGGACCGGGCTGACGACGCGCACCACTGGCTTGGTGCGGGGAGCAGGAACAGGCCGGACCGGGCTGGCGACGCGCACTACTGGCTTGGTGCGGGGAGCAGGAACGGGCCGGACCGGGCTGGCGACGCGCATCACAGGCTTGGTGCGAGGGACAGGAACAGGCCGGGCTGGACTGTGGAGGCGGACTGGAGGTCTGGAGCGGAGAGCTGACACAACCCGTCCTGGCTGAATGCCTATCTCCACACAATATGTGTGAGGCATCAGCACAGGACGCACAGGGCTGTGCACTCGTACTGACGCTACAGCACGTGGCACTGGCGCAGGATATCCGGGACCGAGGAGGGGTACTGGAGGCCACGAGCGTTGAGCCGGCACACTCCGTCCTGGCTGCATGCCCACCTTAGCACGACACGTGCGTGGTGCTAGCATAGGACGTACAGGACTGTGCCGGAACACTCGCGGCACAGTACGTGGCTCCGCATAACACGGAGCCTGCCCAGTCTCACGCTCCCTAGCCTGAGTATGGGGAGTTGGCTCTGTTCTACCTCTAGGCTCCGCCAACCACCCTTCCAGCCCCCCAAACCTGGTGGCCTCCTCTCCTAGTCCGCCGATTCGCCCTGTAGCTGCCGACGACGGCGTGTCCGTCGTCGGCATGGTTGGCGCCGTTTCTCCTCTCCTGCCTGGGCATTAACTTTTGCCCATGGCCCTCTGCCCGCGAATATGTCCTCCCAAGACCACCATTGGCCCACCTGCGACATCGCAATCTTCTCCTCCTGGGCACGCTGCTTGGTCCTCCTTTGGTGGGATCTTCTGTCACGATCGTTACATGATGAAGCGGACCAAGGCGCAGCGTGATAGGCGTACATACTTTATTTAGTGTACACAACACGAACCAAAACATAGAACCTACACACCCTGGCTCAACATTAAAGAGTCCCCAGAGCCAGGGCGTGACAGTTTGCTATTAAAATCAGATCCAACAATAATATAAAGGAATTAGAAATCCAGGGCTTAAAAACAAAGGTGTTATTGTACGCTGATGATTTATGTTCTTTTAAATCCACAACTTGAATCCCTCCACAGCCTCATAGAGGATCTAGATACATTTCTAACCTCTCTGGATTACAACCAAATTACAGTGAGGGAAAAAAGTATTTGATCCCCTGTTGATTTTGTAAGTTTGCCCACTGACAAAGAAATGGTCAGTCTATAATTTTAATGGTAGGTTTATTTGAACAGTGAGAGACAGAATAACAACAAAGAAATCCAGAAAAATGCATGTCAAAAATGTTATAAATTGATTTGCTTTTTAATGAGGGAAATAAGTATTTGACCCCCTCTCAATCAGAAAGATTTCTGGCTCCCAGGTGTCTTTTATACAGGTAACGAGCTGAGATTAGGAGCACACTCTTAAAGGGAGTGCTCCTAATCTCAGCTTGTTACCTGTATAAAAGACACCTGTCCACAGAAGCAATCAATCAATCAATCAGATTCCAAACTCTCCACCATGGCCAAGACCAAAGAGCTCTCCAAGGATGTCAGGGACAAGATTGTAGACCTACACAAGGCTGGAATGAGCTACAAGACCATCGCTAAGCAGCTTGGTGAGAAGGTGACAACAGTTGGTGCGATTATTCGCAAATGGAAGAAACATAAAAGAACTGTCAATCTCCCTCGGCCTGGGGCCCATGCAAGATCTCACCTCGTGGAGTTGCAATGATCATGAGAATGGTGAGGAATCAGCCCAGAACTACACGGGAGGATCTTGTCAATGATCGCAAGGCAGCTGGGACCATAGTCACCAAGAAAACAATTGGTAACACACTTTGCCGTAAAGGACTGAAATCCTGCAGCGCCCGCAAGGTCCCCCTGCTCAAGAAAGCACATATACATGCCTGTCTGAAGTTTGCCAATGAACATCTGAATGATTCAGAGGAGAACTGGGTGAAAGTGTTGTGGTCAGATGAGACCAAAATGGAGCTCTTTGGCATCAACTCAACTCGCCGTGTTTGGAGGAGGAGGAATGCTGCCTATGACCCCAAGAACACCATCCCCACCGTCAAACATGGAGGTGGAAACATTATGCTTTGGGGGTGTTTTTCTGCTAAGGGGACAGGACAACTTCACCGCATCAAAGGGACGATGGACGGGGCCATGTACCGTCAAATCTTGGGTGAGAACCTCCTTCCCTCACCCAGGGCATTGAAAATGGGTCGTGGATGGGTATTACAGCATGACAATGACCCAAAACACACGGCCAAGGCAACAAAGGAGTGGCTCAAGAAGAAGCACATTAAGTTCCTGGAGTCTCCAGACCTTAATCCCATTGAAAATCTGTGGAGGGAGCTGAAGGTTCGAGTTGCCAAACATCAGCCTCGAAACCTTAATGACTTGGAGAAGATCTGCAAAGAGGAGTGGGACAAAATCCCTCATGAGATGTGTGCAAGCCTGGTGGCTAACTACAAGAAACGTCTGACCTCTGTGGTTGCCAACAAGGGTTTTGCCGCCAAGTACTAAGTCATGTTTTGCAGAGGGGTCAAATACTTATTTCCCTCATTAAAATGCAAATCAATTTATAACATTTTTGACATGTCTACACTGTATTTCTGATCAATTTGATGTTATCAAATTGCTTTCTTTCGAAAACAAGGACATTTCTAAGTGACCCCAAACTTTTGAATGGTAGTGTATACAGTGGGGAGAACAAGTATTTGATACACTGCCGATTTTGCAGGTTTTCCTACTTACAAAGCATGTAGAGGTCTGTCATTTTTATCATAGGTACACTTCAACTGTGAGAGACGGAATCTAAAACAAAAATCCAGAAAATCACATTGTATGATTTTTTAATAATTAATTTGCTTTTTATTGCATGACATAAGTATTTGATACATCAGAAAAGCAGAACTTAAAATTTGGTACAGAAACCTTTGTTTGCAATTACAGAGATCATACGTTTCCTGTAGGTCTTGACCAGATTTGCACACACTGCAGCAGGGCCCACTCCTCCATACAGACCTTCTCCAGATCCTTCAGGTTTCGGGGCTGTCGCTGGGCAATACGGACTTTCAGCTCCCTCCAAAGATGTTCTATTGGGTTCAGGTCTGGAGACTGGCTAGGCCACTCCAGGACCTTGAGATGCTTCTTACGGAGACACTCCTTAGTTGCCCTGGCTGTGTGTTTCGGGTCTTTTGTCATGCAGGAAGACCCAGCCACGACCCATCTTCAATGCTCTTACTGAGGGAAGGAGGTTGTTGGCCAAGATCTCACGATACAAGGCCCCATCCATCCTCCCCTCAATACGGTGCAGTCGTCCTGTCCCCTTTGCAGAAAAGCATCCCCAAAGAATGATGTTTCCACCTCCATGCTTCACGGTTGGGATGGTGTTCTTGGGGTTGTACTCATCCTTCTTCTTCCTCCAAACACAGCGAGTGGAGTTTAGACCAAAAAGCTATATTTTTGTCTCATCAGACCACATGACCTTCTCCCATTCCTCCTCTGGATCATCCAGATGGTCATTGGCAAACTTCAGACGGGCCTGGACATGCGCTGGCTTGAGCAGGGGGACCTTGCGTGCACTGCAGGATTTTAATCCATGACGGCGTAGTGTGTTACTAATGGTTTTCTTTGAGACTGTGGTCCCAGCTCTCTTCAGGTCATTGACCAGGTCCTGCCGTGTAGTTCTGGGCTGATCCTTCACCTTCCTCATGATCATTGATGCCCCACGAGGTGAGATCTTGCATGGAGCCCCAGACCGAGGGTGATTGACCATTATCTTGAACTTCTTCCATTTTCTAATAATTGCGCCAACAGTTGTTGCCTTCTCACCAAGCTGCTTGCCTATTGTCCTGTAGCCCATCCCAGCCTTGTGCAGGTCTACAATTTTATCCCTGATGTCCTTACACAGCTCTCTGGTCTTGGCCATTGTGGAGAGGTTGGAGTCTGTTTGATTGAGTGTGTGGACAGGTGTCTTTTATACAGGTAACGAGTTCAAACAGGTGCAGTTAATACAGGTAATGAGTGGAGAACAGGAGGGCTTCTTAAAGAAAAACGAATAGGTCTGTGAGAGCCGGAATTCTTACTGGTTGGTAGGTGATCAAATACTTATGTCATGCAATAACATGCAAATTAATTACTTAAAAATCATACAATGTGATTTTCTGGATTTTATCTGAGTTTCTCACAGTAGAAGTGTACCTCTGATAAAAATTACAGACCTCTACATGCTTTGTAAGTAGGAAAACCTGCAAAATCGGCAGTGTATCAAATACTTGTTCTCCCCACTGTATATATATTTGCAAGAAAAAAACATATGGGGGATTGGAAGTGATGCAGACAATTACATGGATGGAAGTTACAATCTATCTGCAATATTAAAGCTGATATACCCCCTAAAGAAAAAAAAATAATCATAATCTGTGTAGTGCTAATTCAACTTATTTCTAATGGAAAATAACCCATGCTTTTGTATCTCCAGAGGCATCATGCCACCTGGTCCAAGAAGCTGGGAGAGCTGGCCAAAGACATCTTCCTATCTGCTCTCCCTGCTCAGCCCCAGTTGTCCACAGACCAAGGCCAGAGGCTATGGCTGGATCTAGATGGTGACCTGGTTGCACTGCTGCAGCAGGCAGAGTCCAATACCAAACGGCAACTGGAGGGTGTACATGCTCAATTGGAGCAAGATGGACAGGTACTGCTGGACCCAGAAATGTAATGAATAGAGCTGACTCGATTCCCTATTCTACATGACAGACATCATATCTGTTCTACTCAATGCATCTCTATCTGGACCTTATGTAACGTTGCACTCTTCTGGACAGGCGCCAGGTTACACTCCTGGGTCATATTCGTTAGGCACTAAATGGAAGAAAACGTAATGAAATGGGGAGGTACTACTACTAGATCTGGTCCAGTTACAACAGCTTGTTTTTGCTTTCCGCTTTAAAATGTTTTGCTATTGTGTGCCCTAATGAATATGCCCGTTTTTAATATTGTATTTCTGTATGTTTGTCTCTAGGTATGGTGTGAAGAAGCAGCCCTGGTGCTGGCCTGCCTCAGACACCTAGGTGAACAGCAGCTGAAGATCCTTAGAGGCATGGTGGTCAGACAGAGCTATGTGCTTAACAGGTGAAGCAGGGGGACCTCTGGTGGGTGGAAATGCATTTAAAACAATTCAGTATTTAAATATGATCTGAAATCTATTTGATTTTCAATCGTAAACATTTTATACACTCTAGCACATCTGACAAGCAAAAGCATGGTTTAAAGTAGCAAATTGGTGCTGGTACTAAATCATGCCTGGTACTGGAAAAATAGAATGTGCAGGCTTTTGTTCCAGCCCAGAACTAACACACCTGACTCAACTGTGGTCCTCTGTAGCTCAGCTGGTAGAGCACAGCGCTTGTAACGCCAAGGTAGTGGGTTCGATCCCCGGGACCACCAATACACAAAAATGTATGCACGCATGACTGTAAGTCGCTTTGGATAAAAGCGTCTGCTAAATGGCATATTATTATTATTATTATCAACCAATGACCAATCCCTATTCTATCCCAGCCATGTGGGGATGTTGATTGAGAAGAAACAGCACCTCCTGCTGGTGGCGGTGCAGAGGCACTTTGTGGCCAGACACTTCTGTCTGAGGGTCTTGAAGGAGATGAGGTTGTCCAAGCTCAAGGTGCTGTCTCAGAGTGACTTCAGGGCCCTGCTGTCTCTAGAGGACCACACCCAGACCACAGTCAGACCAATGCTCCCCAAAGCCCAGCATCAGGTCCAGTCACACATTCACTAACATTACATTATAATACATTCTACAAAGTGAGAAGATGATGGCTTGTTTTGACTAGTGTTTCTCAATGCATTCCTGGAGAGGGATGCACATATTTGTTCCAGCCCAGTGCAAACACACCTGATTCAACTGATCAACTAATCACCAAACCCTTGATTAGTTGAATCAAGTGTGTTTGTGCAGGGCTAGAACAAAAAAGTGCACACTGTGATTCCCCCTAGGAATGAATTGAGAAACTGCTTTAGAGGCATACAGTATAGAGACCCCTACCTGTCCTTCTTGCTCCATCTACAGCTCTTTTTTAGACTATCAATATGTCACTGTCACCTTGTCACTGTGGTCTGTCAATCACCTCCCTCTGTGTCTTGGACTCCCCACAGGAATCCAGTGCCAGTGTTGCCGAGAGGCACCTGGGTCCGGAGACGCAGCTGATTGGCCACAGCTTCCAGCAGGAGTTCCTGTCGGAGCTGGAGACCGGGGCGGAGCTCCTGCAGGCCAACGCCCAGCAGCTGGTGGGCCACGCCCTCAGCCAGAGCCTCTGGCAGCAGATGGACCAGGCCCCTCCCGCTAGGCCCCAGCCTGACCGCGGAAGGAAGGTACTAGAGCATCTGGCCTCACCCATGAACAACCTCTAGGCCCTACCCCCTAGGACAGACATGGGCAAACTAGGGCCCATGTGACAATTTTAGATTAAAGTTTTAAGTTAACGACTAAAACCAAGTATAAATGATGATGGACCTAGGCCAGTGGAGTCGGCTGAGGGGAGGACAGCTCATAGTAATGGCTGGAATGGAGTGAATGGAATGGTGTCAACCACATGAAAACCATGTTTGATACCATTCCATTGACTCCATTCCAGAGATTATTATGAGCCGTCCTCCCCTCAGCAGCCTCCACTGACCTAGGCCTATGTATTATTTTTAAATAGCCCCCCCCCCCACCCCCCACTCATTTTTAATCTATTTTCTATCTATTCTAATTGTTATTTCTTTGCGTATGAGTAGAGTCAGTTGACGGAGGTAGCGTCGGAGAGTGTGTACGTGACCCGGGATTCCCTCAGTGCTCTGGTCACCAGCTACTACTCTCAGATCCAGGACATCACCAAGGGCCTTCAGCAGCAACACCCTAACAGGGCCAAAGGTGAAATGAACAGGTGGACGTGCATACATAAGACATTTTGGTCGGTTAGGGCTCATTCTGTAGGAAAACTACAGATACTATGAATTTGTGAAGGGCCTTACAATCTGTTCACAGAAAAACTACACTAGAAAGTCCTTTCATTGGTTCTACCGGCAGAATCATGGGCTGTGTATGTGCAATGTTGCAATTCATTGGTGTATTGTTTTTTGCAGTGAGCTGTGTGCTAACTCAAACTTTCACATAATCTTCATTTGATTGAATTGGGGGCCTAAGTTAATGCAACTATCACTGTGTTGTTGTGTCTGTCCCCTCCCCAGAGGAGTGTGAACGACGAGAGAGCAGCTCTCAGATGAACAAGGCCCTGCTAAAGGAGCTGGCCAACTGGGGGAGGAAGCCCATGTCCACCGAGTTTCATCAGAGGTACTGTTTACTTTCTCTACTAACTAATTGACTGTTATTTATACTATACATTTTATTCCCTGCCATTCTCTCCTATGACTTGGCATGGCAACTAATGAACACGGCATAAAGTTGTCTAAAGCAAATTCTGTATGTACAAACCTGGGTTCAAATTGAGCGTTTGATTGAGCCTGCCTGGAGTGCCAGATGGATGGGTTTTGCACTTTTGTGACTATTTCATTGGTTTTGTTGAGCCAGGCAGGCTCAATCAAGTGCTGCTAAAGTATGAAAGAAAACAAATACTATATGAACCCATGTCTAATATTGTAACACTATTATACAGAGAAGGGCTCACTCTTTTTCATTATACACTACCCACCATGCTAATAGGGTTGAACTGCAGAAGAAAAGGATGTTGGAACAGTATGAATTGGAGCAGGAGGTTGCATGTGAGACTCTGAGGAGAAGGAAGTTAGCCCAGGAACAAACCATGGAGCGAATCAAAGGACAGTTACAGGTAACAACCACCTTGTAAATGCTAAATCACAATGGTTCATCATTATGGTAATTTTGACGTGAACGCAAAGAATAGTTCCGTTTTAACTTCCATTAATCCATGGGAGAGTTGGCAAACATTTCTTTAGTCTTCTTATGTGTAAATAATATTACATAATCTGTTCAGCTAAAATAAGTAAATACATGGATAATGTCTGTTGTTCATGATTTATATATTAAAGATTGTTTTAATAAATATTTTATCAAATTAAAATACACGTTTTATTAATTTGGTATATTGTATTTCTGTGTTTGCTCCATCAGGAGGCAGAAGAGGCCTTCATAGCTAAACTGTCTGCCTTAGCTCGGATCCCACTATCCTGCAAAGAGCTCAACACTGAGGATGACATCATAGGTAAGGATTTTCAAGGGCTGCATCTGAAATGGCACACTAGCAGTATTAGTAGTAATAGTACTAGTGACCAGGGCTTTGAAATCACACCCTTTTCCCTTTATTATGCATCTGAAATGGCACACTAGCAGTATTAGTAGTAATAGTACTAGTGACCAGGGCTTTGAAATCACACCCTTTTCCCTGTATTATGCATCTGAAATGGCACACTAGCAGTATTAGTAGTAATAGTACTAGTGACCAGGGCTTTGAAATCACACCCTTTTCCCTGTATTATGCATCTGAAATGGCACACTAGCAGTATTAGTAGTAATAGTACTAGTGACCAGGGCTTTGAAATCACACCCTTTTCCCTGTATTATGCATCTGAAATGGCACACTAGCAGTATTAGTAGTAATAGTACTAGTGACCAGGGCTTTGAAATCACACCCTTTTCCCTGTATTATGCATCTGAAATGGCACACTAGCAGTATTAGTAGTAATAGTACTAGTGACCAGGGCTTTGAAATCACACCCTTTTCCCTGTATTATGCATCTGAAATGGCACACTAGCAGTATTAGTAGTAATAGTACTAGTGACCAGGGCTTTGAAATCACACCCTTTTCCCTGTATTATGCATCTGAAATGGCACACTAGCAGTATTAGTAGTAATAGTACTAGTGACCAGGGCTTTGAAATCACACCCTTTTCCCTGTATTATGCATCTGAAATGGCACACTAGCAGTATTAGTAGTAATAGTACTAGTGACCAGGGCTTTGAAATCACACCCTTTTCCCTATATTATGCATCTGAAATGGCACACTAGCAGTATTAGTAGTAATAGTACTAGTGACCAGGGCTTTGAAATCACACCCTTTTCCCTGTATTATGCATCTGAAATGGCACACTAGCAGTATTAGTAGTAATAGTACTAGTGACCAGGGCTTTGAAATCACACCCTTTTCCCTGTATTATGCATCTGAAATGGCACACTAGCAGTATTAGTAGTAATAGTACTAGTGACCAGGGCTTTGAAATCACACCCTTTTCCCTGTATTATGCATCTGAAATGGCACACTAGCAGTATTAGTAGTAATAGTACTAGTGACCAGGGCTTTGAAATCACACCCTTTTCCCTGTATTATGCATCTGAAATGGCACACTAGCAGTATTAGTAGTAATAGTACTAGTGACCAGGGCTTTGAAATCACACCCTTTTCCCTGTATTATGCATCTGAAATGGCACACTAGCAGTATTAGTAGTAATAGTACTAGTGACCAGGGCTTTGAAATCACACCCTTTTCCCTGTATTATGCATCTGAAATGGCACACTAGCAGTATTAGTAGTAATAGTACTAGTGACCAGGGCTTTGAAATCACACCCTTTTCCCTGTATTATGCATCTGAAATGGCACACTAGCAGTATTAGTAGTAATAGTACTAGTGACCAGGGCTTTGAAATCACACCCTTTTCCCTGTATTATGCATCTGAAATGGCACACTAGCAGTATTAGTAGTAATAGTACTAGTGACCAGGGCTTTGAAATCACACCCTTTTCCCTGTATTATGCATCTGAAATGGCACACTAGCAGTATTAGTAGTAATAGTACTAGTGACCAGGGCTTTGAAATCACACCCTTTTCCCTGTATTATGCATCTGAAATGGCACACTAGCAGTATTAGTAGTAATAGTACTAGTGACCAGGGCTTTGAAATCACACCCTTTTCCCTGTATTATGCATCTGAAATGGCACACTAGCAGTATTAGTAGTAATAGTACTAGTGACCAGGGCTTTGAAATCACACCCTTTTCCCTGTATTATGCATCTGAAATGGCACACTAGCAGTATTAGTAGTAATAGTACTAGTGACCAGGGCTTTGAAATCACACCCTTTTCCCTGTATTATGCATCTGAAATGGCACACTAGCAGTATTAGTAGTAATAGTACTAGTGACCAGGGCTTTGAAATCACACCCTTTTCCCTGTATTATGCATCTGAAATGGCACACTAGCAGTATTAGTAGTAATAGTACTAGTGACCAGGGCTTTGAAATCACACCCTTTTCCCTGTATTATGCATCTGAAATGGCACACTAGCAGTATTAGTAGTAATAGTACTAGTGACCAGGGCTTTGAAATCACACCCTTTTCCCTGTATTATGCATCTGAAATGGCACACTAGCAGTATTAGTAGTAATAGTACTAGTGACCAGGGCTTTGAAATCACACCCTTTTCCCTGTATTATGCATCTGAAATGGCACACTAGCAGTATTAGTAGTAATAGTACTAGTGACCAGGGCTTTGAAATCACACCCTTTTCCCTGTATTATGCATCTGAAATGGCACACTAGCAGTATTAGTAGTAATAGTACTAGTGACCAGGGCTTTGAAATCACACCCTTTTCCCTGTATTATGCATCTGAAATGGCACACTAGCAGTATTAGTAGTAATAGTACTAGTGACCAGGGCTTTGAAATCACACCCTTTTCCCTGTATTATGCATCTGAAATGGCACACTAGCAGTATTAGTAGTAATAGTACTAGTGACCAGGGCTTTGAAATCACACCCTTTTCCCTGTATTATGCATCTGAAATGGCACACTAGCAGTATTAGTAGTAATAGTACTAGTGACCAGGGCTTTGAAATCACACCCTTTTCCCTGTATTATGCATCTGAAATGGCACACTAGCAGTATTAGTAGTAATAGTACTAGTGACCAGGGCTTTGAAATCACACCCTTTTCCCTGTATTATGCATCTGAAATGGCACACTAGCAGTATTAGTAGTAATAGTACTAGTGACCAGGGCTTTGAAATCACACCCTTTTCCCTGTATTATGCATCTGAAATGGCACACTAGCAGTATTAGTAGTAATAGTACTAGTGACCAGGGCTTTGAAATCACACCCTTTTCCCTGTATTATGCATCTGAAATGGCACACTAGCAGTATTAGTAGTAATAGTACTAGTGACCAGGGCTTTGAAATCACACCCTTTTCCCTGTATTATGCATCTGAAATGGCACACTAGCAGTATTAGTAGTAATAGTACTAGTGACCAGGGCTTTGAAATCACACCCTTTTCCCTGTATTATGCATCTGAAATGGCACACTAGCAGTATTAGTAGTAATAGTACTAGTGACCAGGGCTTTGAAATCACACCCTTTTCCCTGTATTATGCATCTGAAATGGCACACTAGCAGTATTAGTAGTAATAGTACTAGTGACCAGGGCTTTGAAATCACACCCTTTTCCCTGTATTATGCATCTGAAATGGCACACTAGCAGTATTAGTAGTAATAGTACTAGTGACCAGGGCTTTGAAATCACACCCTTTTCCCTGTATTATGCATCTGAAATGGCACACTAGCAGTATTAGTAGTAATAGTACTAGTGACCAGGGCTTTGAAATCACACCCTTTTCCCTGTATTATGCATCTGAAATGGCACACTAGCAGTATTAGTAGTAATAGTACTAGTGACCAGGGCTTTGAAATCACACCCTTTTCCCTGTATTATGCATCTGAAATGGCACACTAGCAGTATTAGTAGTAATAGTACTAGTGACCAGGGCTTTGAAATCACACCCTTTTCCCTGTATTATGCATCTGAAATGGCACACTAGCAGTATTAGTAGTAATAGTACTAGTGACCAGGGCTTTGAAATCACACCCTTTTCCCTGTATTATGCATCTGAAATGGCACACTAGCAGTATTAGTAGTAATAGTACTAGTGACCAGGGCTTTGAAATCACACCCTTTTCCCTGTATTATGCATCTGAAATGGCACACTAGCAGTATTAGTAGTAATAGTACTAGTGACCAGGGCTTTGAAATCACACCCTTTTCCCTGTATTATGCATCTGAAATGGCACACTAGCAGTATTAGTAGTAATAGTACTAGTGACCAGGGCTTTGAAATCACACCCTTTTCCCTGTATTATGCATCTGAAATGGCACACTAGCAGTATTAGTAGTAATAGTACTAGTGACCAGGGCTTTGAAATCACACCCTTTTCCCTGTATTATGCATCTGAAATGGCACACTAGCAGTATTAGTAGTAATAGTACTAGTGACCAGGGCTTTGAAATCACACCCTTTTCCCTGTATTATGCATCTGAAATGGCACACTAGCAGTATTAGTAGTAATAGTACTAGTGACCAGGGCTTTGAAATCACACCCTTTTCCCTGTATTATGCATCTGAAATGGCACACTAGCAGTATTAGTAGTAATAGTACTAGTGACCAGGGCTTTGAAATCACACCCTTTTCCCTGTATTATGCATCTGAAATGGCACACTAGCAGTATTAGTAGTAATAGTACTAGTGACCAGGGCTTTGAAATCACACCCTTTACCCTGTATTATGCATCTGAAATGGCACACTAGCAGTATTAGTAGTAATAGTACTAGTGACCAGGGCTTTGAAATCACACCCTTTTCCCTGTATTATGCATCTGAAATGGCACACTAGCAGTATTAGTAGTAATAGTACTAGTGACCAGGGCTTTGAAATCACACCCTTTTCCCTGTATTATGCATCTGAAATGGCACACTAGCAGTATTAGTAGTAATAGTACTAGTGACCAGGGCTTTGAAATCACACCCTTTTCCCTGTATTATGCATCTGAAATGGCACACTAGCAGTATTAGTAGTAATAGTACTAGTGACCAGGGCTTTGAAATCACACCCTTTTCCCTGTATTATGCATCTGAAATGGCACACTAGCAGTATTAGTAGTAATAGTACTAGTGACCAGGGCTTTGAAATCACACCCTTTTCCCTGTATTATGCATCTGAAATGGCACACTAGCAGTATTAGTAGTAATAGTACTAGTGACCAGGGCTTTGAAATCACACCCTTTTCCCTGTATTATGCATCTGAAATGGCACACTAGCAGTATTAGTAGTAATAGTACTAGTGACCAGGGCTTTGAAATCACACCCTTTTCCCTGTATTATGCATCTGAAATGGCACACTAGCAGTATTAGTAGTAATAGTACTAGTGACCAGGGCTTTGAAATCACACCCTTTTCCCTGTATTATGCATCTGAAATGGCACACTAGCAGTATTAGTAGTAATAGTACTAGTGACCAGGGCTTTGAAATCACACCCTTTTCCCTGTATTATGCATCTGAAATGGCACACTAGCAGTATTAGTAGTAATAGTACTAGTGACCAGGGCTTTGAAATCACACCCTTTTCCCTGTATTATGCATTACTTTTGACCAGAGCCAAAGTAGTGCAATATATTGGGAATAGGGTACCATTTCGGACGCGTACTTGGTATACAGCACACTATATTTGCTACTGAAAATAGAAGCTATCACACAGTTTTCTTGTTTATTTTATGATTCTGGATATCCTACTGTAGTCTTCAAATAAGAGTGTTTGCGAATATGAATTGCATTATCAATGTCACATTTTTACAGGGGAGGAGAGTCCAACATTGAATCCAACATTGTGGAAGAGGCGAGAGAGGCGGGAGCGTGAAACTCTGCTCACCAATCCAACACTTTTATTTTCATGACAGGGAGTGTGCAAGTGTACACTTTAGGAGGCTAGATAATTGGAACACAACTATGTTTATTACCACCTGATGGGGGGGGGGGGGGGTTGTACTGGGCATTTTTGCTGTTTTCACATGTAATATAACCCTTTTTAATACACTTTATGTTAATTTCTAATATAGTTTATATATATATATATATAACAATCAAAATGATCTCTATATCATCTCCTATGTAATGCTAACATTTTGTGGTGAATGTAAATAAAACAGAAAAAAAAACTATATTACTTGATCTGTATCACTGCATGTAGTTAGATGATTTGCATTTGTGGAAATGGTTGATATCTTTATAGTGGTCTATGGGGTTAGTAAATATACTGAAATACACTTTTAAATGATTAACAATTTTTATTTATTTCACCTTTATTTAACCAGGTAAGCCAGTTGAGAACAAGTTCTCATCTACAACTGCGACCTGGCCAAGTTAAAGCCAAGCAGTGCGATAAAAACAACAACACAGAGTTACATATGGGGTAAAACAAAACATAGTCAAAAATACAACAGAAAATATATATACAGTGTGTGCAAATGTAGCAAGTTATGGAGGTAAGGCAATAAATAGGCTATAGTGCAAAATAATTACAATTAGTATTAACACTGGAATGATAGATGTTCAAGAGATGATGTGCAAATATAGATAGAGATACTGGGGTGCAAATGAGCAAAATAAATAACAATATGGGGATGAGGTAGTTGGGTGGGCTAATTTCAGATGGGCTGTGTACAGGTGCAGTGATCGGTAAGGTGCTCTGACAACTGATGCTTAAAGTTAGTGAGGGAGATAAGAGTCTCCAGCTTCAGAGATTTTTGCAATTCGTTCCAGTCATTGGCAGCAGAGAACTGGAAGGATTGGCGGCCAAAGGAGGTGTTGGCTTTGGGGATGACCAGTGAGATATACCTGCTGGAGCGCATACTACGGGTGGGTGTTGCTATGGTGACCAATGAGCTAAGATAAGGCGGGGATTTGCCTAGCAGTGATTTATAGATGGCCTGGAGCCAGTGGGTTTGGCGATGAATATGTAGTGAGGACCAGCCAACAAGAGTGTACAGGTCACAGTGGTGGGTAGTATATGGGGCTTTGGTGACAAAACGGATGGCACTGTGATAGACTACATCCAATTTGCTGAGTAGAGTGTTGGAGGCTATTTTGTAAATGACATCGCCGAAGTCAAGGATCAGTAGGATAGTCCGTTTTACGAGGGCATGTTTGGCAGCATGAGTGAAGGAGGCTTTGTTGCGAAATAGGAAGCTGATTCTAGATTTAACTTTGGATTGGAGATTCTTAATGTGAGTCTGGAAGGAGAGTTTACAGTCTAACCAGACACCTAGGTATTTGTAGTTGTCCACATACTCTAGGTCAGACCCGTCGAGAGTAGTGATTCTAGTCGGGTGGGCGGGTGCCAGCAGCGTTCGATTGAAGAGCATGCATTTAGTTTTACTAGTGTTTAAGAGCAGTTGGAGGCTACTGAAGGAGTGTTGTATGGCATTGAAGCTCGTTTGGGGGTTTGTTAACACAGTGTCAAATGAAGGGCCAGATGTATACAAAATGGTGTCGTCTGCGTAGAGGTGGATCTGAGAGTCACCAGCAGCAAGAGCGACATCATTGATATACACGGAGAAAAGAGTCGGCCCAAGAATTGAACCCTGTGGCACCCCCATAGAGACTGCCATAGGTCCAGACAACAGGCCCTCCGATTTGACACATTGAACTCTATCTGAGAAGTAGTTGGTGAGCCAGGCGAGGCAGTCATTTGAGAAACCAAGGCTATTTAGTCTGCCAATAAGAATGCAGTGGTTGACAGATGGTTGACAGAGTCGAAAGCCTTGGCCAGGTCGATGAAGACGGCTGCACAGTACTGTCTATTATCGATCGCGGTTATAATATCGTTTAGGACCTTGAGCGTGGCTGAGGTGCACCCATGACCAGCTTGGAAACCGGATTGCATAGCGGAGAAGGTACGGTGGGATTCGAAATGGTCGGTGATCTGTTTGTTAACTTGGCTTTCAAATACTTTCGAAAGGCAGGGCAGGATGGATATAGGTTTGTAACAGTTTGGATCTAGAGTGTCACACCCTTTGAAGAGGGGGATGACCGCGGCAGCTTTCCAATCTCTGGGGATCTCACGTTACGAAAGAGAGGTTGAACAGGCTAGTAATAGGGAATAACCATCAAGCACTTACTTTGACATAGGTGACCAAAATACAATGAGAGCAGTCGACTGCAATCCAAAGTGACTTCACAGTTGCTTCACACAAATAAACTGTGCATTATAGTCACAACACCACTAAGGGACCTACAATGTGTGAAAGTCACTAGGACAGATGTCTAATATCAGTATGTCTATGAATTTGAGAGTTTACATTTCTTTAGCCCCATCCCTCAGCTGTTCACCAAAACAATCAAATCACAGACTGCCTCTTGAAGTATAATTATTTACTCTATTGAGGGTGTTGTAGCATTATTACCAAGTATCTACCCTAAAGACCAGTATCTACTACTGTAAGTAGCTCTGGATAACAGCGTCTGCTAAATGACTAAAATGTAAGGTAGGCTATTCCATGATGACAGAATTGTGCATTGCAAATACTCAACCAAGGCTATTAACTTTTTAAATACCTGGTTGGTTTGCATACCCATTATTGCCTTAGCATTTAGGCTACTGGTCGATATCTTAACTTGGAATATCTTTCCTACTGCTTTCCTACCCCTACCACCGTCGGTCTTCTATCCACCAACAACCAGCTGTTTGAGAGCTGCACACTCTCTGCCTGACAGATTATCTGAGGCGCTGTAACTAGCATGCTTACTATTTGTGATGAGTTGTACACCAGAAGTACATTCATTTACAATGAAATGCTGCGTTTGCCTTGCAGCATTGCGTTGCAGAGGCAGTTGTATTGTGTCAAATCCGATTCAAAAATTAAACGCGCACGAGATGGCGCGCGCGATCAAGATGAAACGTCATTGCTCGACAGAGAAGAAATGTGGCAGAGTGAGCAGAGGACGGGGTTCTCGATTGTACAGGCAAGTCTAGAGCGAGCGCAAATTAAACGTGAGTTTGCAAGTGTGATTTTGACAAAGTAGAACATAATTGTCACTGACCAAAAATAAAAATATCTCAAACAGTAGGCCTACATATAGAACTGTAGGCAAAGAAACGTGATTCAAACGTGTATTTTATTTTATTTGAACCAGCAATAGTCACATGTCACTGTCAAGTTTTCACTCTCAATTTCTCAGATTGCTCTCTCTCAAGTCTTGGCACCTTAGAGTTTGGATTTCAGGCTGATGGGGGCGGGCTTAAAGGCGTGTTTAGAAACCATAGATTGGTCACTTTCACTGGAGTGATGGACAAACTAACAAATTCATGCCATTGGCCAGTCCAACGTTTTAATTACTACTACAGGCCATCTGTTCGCAATGCACTGTAGAGCGTTCTATTTAGCTAGCAAGCCGGCTTGAGTAGTAATTGCCGAACGACTGGGGAAATCGAGCAGCTTGATAACCACATGAATTGGGAAATAGATTCTAATAGGTATACTATACCTTGAGTCGAGTGGAATCCACTTGCTAAAGTTAGCTAGCTAATTACTTGTTAGCCAGCAACGTTAGTATGTAAAACGAAAAGCAGACAGTAAGCTCTAGCAAACACCATAAAACAAGTCCACTAATATCAAGAAGGAGAAAATATTTAGGGTATTAAGCCTAAGGACACACACACAGCACATGGGGATTTTTTATTATATGAAGACACAAAGTGGAGAATCTGCTACAGTTCATCCAGTACATAACCAGTCCCAAATAATAGATTATAAACTGGGTGGTTCGAGCCCTGAATGCTGATTGGCTGACAGCCGTGGTATATCAGACCGTTGTGGGGATCTAGATGTGATGACTAGCTTAGAAGGAATGCATTAATGATTAAACATAATGGGTTTGTACTGTACTGATATAAATTGTTTCACATAACAAGCTGTGATTCATGTGAGGAACGTTAGGGCAGGGGCGGTGTGTTCATTAGGGCGATATGGGCGACGCACTGCCAAACGGGAAAAGGAAGGGATTTTTTTTCTAATCAATTATATCACGGCAACAGTAGTTATCAGTGTTCTAATCTAGACGTCTGATCTGCCACTAAATATCCAATCAGGCTAAAGTCGTGCTTCAAATGGCCCCGCCCCTTTTGGGGCGATTTCAGTCAGGTTGAAAATCGCCCAGGAGTCTCTCATAGACTCTCATGTAAAATCTTTTTTTTTTCAAATATCAGAGCTTTCAATACAATCTCTATGGGTTCCGGGAGGGCTTGCACTTACGCGCTTTCGTCATACGTAACATAAGTAACCATGAACATAACTAAGAAAAGAGCGGGTAGCAGCGTCAATCAATTCACGTACTACTGTCAAGATGGCTAGCTTTGCGAGGCAAAGATGAAACTGAGGGCTCCACCAACCCTGGTATTTTTCTTGGACTTGTCAACTTTGTGGCACAATTAGATGAGGTGTTTGATGACCATCTTAAAAATGCTAAAGTTTTCAAGGGCACATCAAAGACCATTCAAAACGAGCTACTGGAGTGTATGCTAGCGGTCATGAGGGAACATATTGTGGAGGAGGTGAAGTCGGCGAACTTCGTAGCTATCCAAGCTGACGAGACCACGGACGTTTCTACACAGACACAGCTGGTGCTTGTGCTGAGGTACATAGATAGCAACCACAAAGTGCAGGAGCGCTTTTTTGAGTTCCTTCCCATCTCGGAATCAACCTCAGTCTCAATCGCCAGTGTGCTTTTGGAGAGACTGAACGGTCTTTTTGCCGACGACGAGAAAGTCAAACTCATTGCGCAAGCTTACGATGGAGCCAGTGTGATGAGGGGAGAGAAGGCTGGTGTGCAGCAAAAGGTGCGTGAGCATTTCAAGAATGCCCATTACGTGCATTGCTATGCGCATCAGCTGAATTTGATCATGCAGCAAGCTAGAACAGTTTCAGTACAAGTAATGTAGCCTCTCTCTCTCTTTGTCCCTCCCTGTCTGTCTCTTTAACACACACACGCCCAAATCAGTTCACAGTTGATGTTGTTTAAAATAGTTATT